TCCAGAAAGTGGACATAGAGGGAACCTACCTCAACATAATAAAGACCATATATGACAAACTCACAGCAAACATCATTCTCAATGGTGAAAAACTGAAAGCATTTCCTCTAAGATCAGGAACAGGACAAGGATGTCCACTTTCACCACTCTTATTCAACATAGTTTTGGAAGTCCTAGCCATGGCAATCGGAGAAGAAAAAGAAATAAAAGGGATACAAGTTGGAAAAGAAGTAAAACTGTCACTGTTTGCAGATGACATGATACTATACATAGAGAATCCTAAAGATGCCACCAGAAAACTACTAGAGCTAATCAATGAATCTGGTATAGTTGCAGGATGCAAAATTAATGCACAGAAATCTCTTGCATTCCTATACACTAATGATGAAAAATCTGAAAGAGAAATTAAGGAAACACTCCCATTTACCACTGCAACAAAAAGAATAAAATACCTAGGAATAAACCTACCTAGGGAGACAAAAGACCTGTATGCAGAAAACTATAAGACACTGATGAAAAAAAGATGATACCAACAGATGGAGAGATATACCATTTTCTTGGATTGGAAGAATCAATATTGTGAAAATGACTATACTACCCAAAGCAATCTACAGGTTCAATGCAATCCCTATCAAATTACCAATGGCATTTTTTACAGAACTAGAACAAAAAATCTTAAAATTTATATGGAGACACAAAAGACCCCGAATAACCAAAGCAGTCTTGAGGGAAAAGAACGGAGCTGGAGGAATCAGACTCCCTGATTTCAGACTATACTACAAAGCTACAGTAATCAAGACAATATGGTATTGGCACAAAAACAGAAACATAGATCAGTGGAACAAGATAGAAATCCCAGAGGTAAACCTGCGCACCTGTGGTCAACTAATCTATGACAAAGGAGGCAAGGATACACAATGGAGAAAAGACAGTCTCTTCAATAAGTGGTGCTGGGAAAACTGGACAGCTACATGTAAAAGAATGAAATTAGAACACTCCCTAACACCATACACAAAAATAAACTCAAAATGGATTCGAGACCTAAATGTAAGACTGGACACTATGAAACTCTTAGAGGAAAACATAGGAAGAACACTCTTTGACATAAATCACAGCAAGATCCTTTTTGATCCACCTCCTAGAGTAATGGAAATAAAAACAAAAATAAACAAATGGGACCTAATGAAACTTAAAAGCTTTTTCACACCAAAGGAAACCATAAACAAGACGAAAAGACAACCCTCAGAATGGGAGAAAATATTTGCAAACGAATCAACGGACAAAGGATTAATCTCCAGGGCTTCCCTGGTGGCGCAGTGGTTGAGAGTCCGCCTGCCAATGCAGGGGACACGGGTTCGTGCCCCAGCCCGGGAAGATCCCACATGCCGCGGAGCGGCTAGGCCCATGAGCCATGGCTGCTGAGCCTGCACGTCCAGAGCCTGTGCTCCACAACGGGAGAGGCCACAACAGTGAGAGGCCCACATACCGCAAAAAAAAAAAAAAAAAAAAAGATGAATCTCCAAAATATATAAACAGCTCATGCAGCTCAACATTAAAGAAAGCAACAACCCAATCCAAAAATGTGCAGAAGACCTAAATAGACATTTCTCCAAAAAAGACATACAGATGGCCAAGAAGCACATGAAAAGCTACTCAACATCACTAATTATTAGAGAAATGTAAATCAAAATTACAATGAGGTATCACCTCACACCATTTAGAATGGGCATCATCAGAAAATCTACAAACAACAAATGCTGGAGAGGGTGTGGAGAAAAGGGAACCCTCTTGCACTGTTGGTGGGAATGTAAATTGATACAGCCACTATGGAGAACAGTATGGAGGTTCCTTAAAAAACTAAAAATAGAACTACCATATGACCCAGCAATCCCACTACTGCGTATATACCCAGAGAAAACCATAATTCAAAAAGACACATGCACCCCAATGTTCATTGCAGCACTATTTAGAATAGCCAGGTCACAGAAGCAACCTAAATGCCCATCCACACACGAATGGATAAAGAAGATGTGGTACATATATACAATGGAATATTACTCAGCCATAAAAAGGAACGAAATTGGGTCATTTGTTGAGACGTGGATGGATCTAGAGACTGTCATACAGAGTGAAGTCAGAAAGAGAAAAACAAATATCGTATATTAACGCATGTATGTGGAACCTAGAAAAATGGTACAGATGAACCGGTTTCCAGGACAGAAGGTGAGACACAAATGTAGAGAACAAACGTATGGACATCAAGGGGGGAAAGCCGCAGGGGGATGGGGACGGTGGTTTGATGAATTGGGCTATTGGGATTGACATGTATACACTGATGTGTATAAAATTAATGACTAATAAGAACCTGCTGTATAAAAAAATAAATAAACTTCAAAAAAAATAAAATAAAATGAGTCTCTTGTAGACAACATATAGGTGGATGTGTGCTTTTCTCCATTCTACCAATCTGTGTCTCTTGGAGAGTTTAATCCATTTACATTTAAAGTAATTACTGATAACGAGGGACTTCTGTCATCTTGCTTTTCTTTTTCTATATGCCTTCTAGCTTTTTTATCCCTCTTTTCCTACATTACTGTCTTCTTTTGAATTTAGTTGATTTTTTGTACTGAAATTTTAAAATTCATTTCAATTTGTCTATATTTTATGGCTATTTTCTTTGTGGTTACCATGGGGATTACATTTAACATCCTAAAGTTATAACACTCTAATTTGAATTTATGCCACTCTAATTTCAATAACATACAAAAACTCTATTCCTTTATAGCTTTATCTCCACACCTTTTGTCACAAACTTACGTCTTTGTACATTGTGTGCCCCAAAACAAAGTGGTAATTCCTTCAAAAGGATTAGTCTCTTTTGTAGAAAACAAGATTTGGAGTCACAAACTAAAGTTACAATAATACTAACTTTTGACTAATAACTTTTTTTTCCTTTATTTGTATTAGTCTCTTAAATCATTTAGAAAACAAAAAGTGGAAGTTACAATCCATTGTTACGATAATGTTAGGTTTTACAATTGCCCATGTATTTATCTTTATGAAGATTTTTATTTCTCCGTATGACTTCAGGTTACTATCTAGTGTTCTTTCATTTCACCTTACAGAATTCCCTTGAGTATTTCAAGCGGGACATGTCTAATGGTCACAGCCTCCCTCAACTTTTACCTGAGAATGTCTTAATTCCTCCCTCACTTTTGCAGAACAGTTTTGCCAGATAGAGGATTCTTCATGGACAGTTATTTTTTTTCTTTTGACTATCAGCCTACTGTCTCCTGACCCTCAAAGTTTCTGATGAGAAATCTGCATGTAATCTTATTGAGGATCCCTTATATGTGATGATTTGCTTATCTCTTGCTGCTTCAAGATTCTCTCTTTGTCATTGTCTTTTTCTTATTCCTTTTTTTTTTTGTCTGTGCCACGTGGCATGTGGGATCTTAGTTCCCCGACCAGGGGGCCAGGGATCAAACCCGTACCCCCTGTGTTGGGAGCTTGGAGTCTTAATCACTAGACCACCAGGGAAGTTCTTGTCATTGTCTTTTGAAAGTTTGATTATAATGTGTCTCATTGTGGGTCTTTTTGAGTTCAACTTACTTGGATTTTGTTGAGATTCTTGGATGTTTATATCATTATTTCATCGAATTTGGGACATTTTCAGTCATTATTTCTTCAAATATTGTCTCTCTCTTTCTCCCTTCCTTCTGGGACTTCCATGATGTGCATACTGGTGTGCTTGATGGTGTCCAACAGGTCCCTTATGTTCTGTTCACTTTCTTCAATCTTTTTTCTTTCTGTTCCTTTAATTTCTGCTGTGTAATTTATTTCATTTGAGTGTTTTCATTTCACAGTTCTTTGGTTTTAGTATTTTCTAGTTAACCTGTTGCTGCTATTATCACATATGTATAATTTTTATATACTTGTGTATATAATATGCACAAATATACATATAAACATATCAGTTTACTCATGTTTTGTCTTCACAAAAGTTTTTTGGTCATTTGATAACACCAGTCAATTAGTGGTGAAGTTGTAAGGAGTGAGACTTACACATTTCTAGTGAAAGTATAAATTTTGATGCACTTTGAAGAGAAATACCTAATGAAGTTAGAAATGTGCATATCCTACAACCAGGAAGTCCACTTCTAGGTGGTATGTTCTAAAGAAACCCGTATACATGTGTATAAAGAGACATGTACAAAGGATGTTATTGTAACATCATAATAGTGAAAAAGCAGTATCTAACTGTTTCTGAGTAGAAGAGTGAACAAACTAGTTTGTTGTTACAATGGAATACTGTATTATCATAAAAATATGAATCCACATATGTATACATGGATAAATATTTAAAACAATATTAAGTGAAAAAAATAAGTTGCTGAAACTTGCAAAAGTGTTGATATTGTCTGTGTGAATTTTCAAAACAAAATTATGTTACATATTGTTCATGGGTCTACATATATAGTTAAAAGCACAAAAAACATGTATGAGAATGAAACACACCAGAGAATGATATAGAACAATTTCAACATAGTATTGGTGAGGGAGGGAACATAGTATTGGCGAGGGAGGGAAGGGATAAGATATGGACTTGTGATTTCATTTCTTCTCTAAAAGGAGAGAAACTGAAGGAAATTTGGCAAAATGCAATAAGCTATGTAATTTCAGTAGTAATTTAAATTGTGAGTGTTATGTTTTTTCTGTGTACAGTTGACCCTTGAACAATTTGGGAGTTAGGGGTGCCAACCCTGGGCAGTTGAAAATCCACATATAACTTTACAGTCAACCCTTCCTTTCCATAGTTCCCATCTGTGGATTCAGCCAACCGCTGATGGTGTAGTGCTGTAGTACATATTTATTGAAAAGAATCCATGTATAAGTGGACTCAGTTTAAAACTGTCTTGTTCAAGGGTCGACTGTATTTAAAATGTTTCAAATTTAAAAAAATTAATATGAAAATTAATAAATCCTGTTTCTGTGTTTAGCTTGAATCTCAACTAGAGAAAAAAGAACAACAATTTAAAGAACAAGAAAAGACAATATCTATGTTGCAGCAAGACATAATATGTAAACAACATCACCTTGAATCACTAGACAGACTCTTGACGGAAAGCAAAGGGGTAAAATCATCTTTATAAAAGTGCTGTTTAAAAGCTGACCAATATTTTAAGTTTATGTTTCTTTAACATACCTTTAATTCTAGTCAAATCAATTGTTTAACAACCTGTTACTAATGCTAAAATATTTATACACGTACGTATATTTTTGCTACCAATCTGTATGTTTTCAGGAAATGGAAAAGGAAAATATGAAGAAAGATGAAGCTTTGAAAACATTACAGAACCAGGTATCTGAAGAAACAATCAAGGCTAGTATGCTAATACTTTAAAATTTTTTCTTTTTCTTTTTATTTATTTTTTTTCTTAATGGAGACATTCCTGTGGCTTTTTAGTTTTCTCTATAAATTGTAAAAAAAAGTTTACATAAAAATAAAGTGGTAAAAATTTTACCTAAGTCAATGAACTTAGTTTCTTTAAGTAGTATATTTTTCATTGTGAATTATGATCTTAATTATTTGATAGTTGATAATCTAGTCTATAGATTATCTAACTTCTTTTCTTTTTATAATACCTTAAGAAAGATTTTTTTAACAAAAAATGTGTTTTTTAAACTGTAGCTACTTACTAACATTACCAGTAAAAAAATTAACAAAGGAAGTGAAGAGAGATGAAACTACAAACAATACAGTTTTGCTTCTTTTTACTAGTTCTGCTATATGATTAAATAGGGAATAAATCCAGAATTTTTGGGTAAAATACAGTTTTGTGGCCAGGATAACCTTATGGTTAAAAGTATGGGCTTTGAAGCTAAACTGACTTAGGTTTTAGTTCTGGCTTCAGTGTACTTATTAACTGTAACCTTGGCTAGGTTATTTAAACTCTGAACGTTAATTTCTTCATCAGTAAAATAGGGATCACAATGCCCTAGAAGAGGTTGGGTTTGAGGATTAAATGAAATGAGGTACATAAAATACTTAACACATACTAAGTTACTCAGAGTTTGCTAAGTAATTACCATATATTCAGTGTTTTCTTCTTTGCATTTTTAGTGCTAAAAATAGCTTCAAATATGCTGTGACCTTCATTCTGTTATATATGGATTAAATTAAAGGATATTTAAAAAATCCAATGTTATTTACTTTTTGCCTAGTACTCTGTTTTTCATCCATTTTGTGACCATGTATACCCTCGTAAACCCAATTACATGTTTATCCATAACTTTCCTATAGTATTCTCCAGAACTTTTAACATTTAATGCCATGTCAGTTCATTTCCTCATGTAAAAATAACCTCTAAGATCATTAATATTTAAAAAATCATTATTGTACAAAGGTTGTAGGCATGATATAATTTCATTAAAAAAAATCCATCTTGCCACTTAACTCCTGTTTTTCATTAAATTACCTAACACATCTAGCCACTCATCTGGTAAGTTATTTTCATTTGTTAATAATCAGATATGAGACAGGAAGGAAATCAGCTAAAGAATGAATTATGATGTTAGGTTTTATTCCTTTGGTACCTTTAGTAGATTTGCTTTCATTGAAGCTATACTAAATGATTCTTTTCTTTCTTTCTTTTTCTTTTTTTTGTTTTTCTTTTTCTTTGAGATGCACTGTGCGGTCTGTGGGATCTTAGTTCCCTGCCAGGGGTGGAACCTGGGCCCTCAGCAGTGAAAGCACTAAGTCCTAACCAGTTGACTGCCAGGGAATTCCCTAAATGATTCTAACATATCAAATAGAAGTTTGAAGTATATTTCTCTTTTCTTGATTATGTCATTACCACCTTCTTTCTTGACTTTTGGCCATGTCCTTTTGCATGCCTCAGTTTGTTCTTTGCATAAAAATTTTGAAATTTTCTATCTGCAGGAGAGTTATAAGGATCTATAAGTTTAAACTTATATCACTTATAGAAGTATGATAATGATAGCTGGAAGACTGATGGGAAGTTTATGAACTGGTAACAAAAAACCCAATAAATTAAAGCAATTATGTTAGCTGCTATTAAATAGAAAATTGAGAATGTACTTATTAGTGATTTCATTTGTTTATTTTATTTGTTTTGCTTTGGTTTTATTTTCCACTCTAGATTTTTGTGTGTGTTTTATTTCCCCAAAGAAAGTTAAAGTTATAAGTAGAAAAAAAAATAAAAAAGACTAGCTTAGGTGCTTCTGTTGAAAGTAGGTAGCGTAGAGCCCCTATGTGGTTGCCTCCAGAATATGCCCCTGAGGAGGTTCTTTGGTTTAGCAGAGCAGTGTCTTTGTTTTGATTCTATTCATTCATGTACATATATATACATGTATATTTATGAGTGGTTTGTACACAGTGAATGATGTTTATTTGTGTGACATTTAGAGTCTCAAGCTCTTTGTTCAAATGAGAAATCCAACAGAGTAGTAGATGTTTTGGTTTTTATTATTTATTAGTTTTAATTAATTTATTTTTAATTAAGTTTTATTATGAAAAGTTTCAAACCTACAAAATGAAAGACTAGTACAGAGAACAGCTGTGTCCTTTCATTTAGATTTACTGTCTTTTAAACTCTAACCATACTCACTTCATCTCTCTGCACACACACGCACATGCCTTCTTGCACATGCACCCACCCAGTCCCACCGCCACTCACACATTTCCTTTTTGCTAGTCCACCTGTGAGAAGGTTGCAGATGTCATGATACTTTACACCCTTAATACTTAAACTTGGGTCTCATATGTATAGAAACTTTCTCCTACCTGATTACACCATCTTTATACACCACAGAAAGTCAACATTAATTCAGTAACACTATTCAACATACTGTCCATACTGAAAATTTCCCAATTATTTAAAAATGTTCTTAATAATCTTGCTACTCAAAGCATGGTCTAGCAGCATCACTATCACCCGGGAACTTGTTTGACTTGCAGAATATCTGACCTACTGAACAGAGCTGGGACTAAAGTGAAGCAAGGGAGTGCCTCTGGCATACAAGTTAAGGAGACATTTATTCTCCGGGTTGTACAAGTGAAGTGTAGGCATTTGCATGATCCTGAGAGTGAGTACCTCCTTAAACTTTGAGCCCTAGAACCTCCTTTGTCTCACCCTAGACCTGGCTCTGGTTCTGAATTAAGGTGTCCAGGTGATCTGTGTGAACATTAAATTGTGAGAAACACTACTTTAGCTTGTTCCTTTTCTTTCCCCAATTTAGAATGCAGTCATAATTCATGTTTTGCTTTTGGCTTTTTAGATTCCCCTAAACTCACTGTCTCCTATTGTTCACGACACTGAATCTTTGGAAAAGTCTAGGTCAACCATAATAGCACACACACCACAACTGTGGATTATACTGTGGGTTATACAGTGTCCTTCCCACTGCTTCACATCAGGAAGCACATAATTTCACATCACCCCATTATTGGCTTTGCCAATCTTGACACCTATTATTTAAGGTGGTTACTGCCAGATCTCCCTATTTTAAGGGCATAATTTTTCCTTTATAATTAATAAGCAATACATAGGGTGATTCTTTGAGGCCATGTTCAAAGACCTGTCCCTCAACAAATTAATGACCAATGGTTTTAACATCTAGTGATGAATCTTGCCTGATTGAGTTTTTACATTGTTAATTTTTATCACATGTGATGTTCTGACGGTCATAGATTTTTTTTTTTCTGTGTGTGGAAGATGATACAAGTACCAATGCTTATTCTCATGCTTAATAAAGAAAACCTGTAAATATTTATACCTCTCATAAAAGACTTTAAAAATTATTATTAGGGTAACAGTTTATTAACAAAGATAATTAATCAAAATTATAAGCTTTTTAACTGTTAATGGTTATATTCACAGGCTATAGGGACGGGCTTTGAAAACTGTGTCTTTCAGTTGTGTCTCTTTTTAGAAATAAGAGTTGCAAAGATAATTTCATGATGTAGAATAGTATCTGGAAGAGGGAACATTTTTCTTTTTCTCCTTATCTTGTTGAAATTTCTTTCACACTTTCATGACTACTTACTAGAATGCTATTAGCGTTGAGGAAAGAAAAAAAATACTCCCGAGAAGCTCAGAAATACAATAAGGAAAAGAAAGGAGCAAGACAAGAATGAATCTTATTAACAGATGGGATGTGGAGCATGTGTGCAAATTCTGAAAAATTTTACTGAATTTGAGTTGCTCTTTGCTCATTCGCTCTTTAATGTTGAGGTAGCGTGAAGCATTTGCAGCTTTATGAACACTTGAACCAAGTTACATTGCTGCCTTTCTGGAAATGTTTTCACTGATTCAGAGCAAAAGCAGCCTTCTCCGTCTTACCTAAGTTTGTTTTTCATTAGCCGACAAAAACATTTCATTTTCTTAGTGACTTCAGCATATTCAGAATATTCGCACTATAGCATTTTTAACACAATACTCCAGTTTGTACTCACTTTATTATTTTTCTTGATCAAGGGAACTTAAGGAATAGGTTTAAATACTGCTTACCTTTTTAGGTAAATGTTTCAGGGTGTCTGGCCTGCAGGTCCTTGACAATTGGCCCCAGTCTATCTTGCTAATCCCACCCTTCCATTACCCATCTCTTACAAATTCATGGTTTTGGTACCCTAAGCTCCTGCCAACTTCTTACCATTCCTTTTCACAGTGCCTTGTCTCTGAATGTACTCCCCTCTTCCTAGAATGCCCTTCTTCACTTGTTCATGTCCATTTATTCTTCAGGACTCCAGGCACTGGTTTCCTCTTTGGTTTCCTAGTTTGCAGTAATAATTAGTTTTCTAAATAAATCTCTTCTTTAATAGCATTTTATATCCTAAGTTGGACTGTATATTCACTGGTTGAAGCAGTGAGGTAACATTAGGAGATAACGCTGTAAAATATTGAGCATATAATAAGCACTCATTAGTACTGGTTGATTTTCCTTTTTTGCTTTTTTTCTGCTTAGGTCAGACAACTAGATTCAGCATTGGAAATTTGTAAGGAAGAACTTGCTTTGCATTTGAACCAATTGGAAGGAAATAAAGAAAAGTTTGAAAAACAGCTAAAGAAGAAATCTGAAGAAGTAAATTAACATTTCCTTTAAATATAGCATATATTTCAAGTGATTTCTTTTTGAGATATTGTTTATTTTCAAGATACTTTAAAAGTACATTTTTATATAGCTGATATAAAAAAATTTTTCCAGTAAAACGTAAACTCCAATTTTATATTCTTTTTTAAAAAAATAAATTTATTTATGGCTGTGTTGGGTCTTCGTTGCTGCTTATGGACTTTCTCTAGTTGAGGAGAGTGGGGGCTACTCTTCATTGCAGTGCACGGGCTTCTCATTGCAGTGGCTTCTCTTGTTGCAGAGCATGGGCTCTAGGTGTGCAGGCTTCAGCAGTTGTGGCATGCGGCCTCAGTAGATGTGGTGCACGGGCTCCAGAGTGCAGGCTCAGTAGTTGTGGTGCACGGACTTAGCTGCTCTGCGGCATGTGGGATCTTCCCAGACCAGGGATCGAACCCATGTCCCCTGAATTCACAGGCGGATTCCCAACCACTGTGCCACCAGGGAAGTCCCCAATTTTATATACTTTAAGAAACAAACATCATATGACATATAAAACACAAAATATGACACCTTAAAATTCTAATTCTATTACCTATTTTTAGGGAATCAGGAGATTATTGTTGATCACAGAGTAATTCTAATATAAAATGATTAACACTTGGAATATTGTTTTAGATTTAGAGGTATAAAATTCTTCAAAATTTTTCCATTTTGTTTTTTCTTCCTCTATTTGAAGGATTGAGAATTAGGTTTATAAATTCAACTTTCTTTATTGAGAAGAGTTTCTCAGATACTAGATAGAAGACTTTTCTTGAATTATCTTATTCATCTCTGTATGCTCATTGTCAACCACTTTGCTTTCAACATAATAGGTAGTCACTAAATATTTGCTGAAAGGAATAATCTTAATGAAGAATTCCTTTATTTCTTTGTTAGAATTTATAATATATATATTTAAACCTTCACTTCATGTTTAGAAATAATCAACAAATCGGACTTCCCTGGTGGCACAGTGGTTAAGAATCTGCCTGCCCATGCAGGGGACACGGGTTCGAGCCCTAGTCCAGGAAGATCCCACATGCCACAGAGCAGCTAAGCCCATGCGCCACAACTACTGAGCCTGCGCTCTAGAGCCTGCGAATCACAACTACTGAGCCTGTGTTCGACAACTACTGAAGCCCACACACTTAGAGCCTGTGCTCCGCAACAGGAGAAGCCACCGCAATGAGAAGCTTGTGCACCGCAACGAAGAGTAGCCCTCGCTCGCTGGAACTAGAGAAAGCCTGGGCACAGCAACAAAGACCCAACACAACCAAAGATAAAAAATAAATAAAATTTAAAAAAAAACCAAAAACGTTTCTTTAAAAAAAAAAAAATAGTGAACAAATCTTCATCAAAGATGCATCACAGGGCTTCCCTGGTGGCGCAGTGGTTGAGAGTCCCCCTGCCGATGCAGGGGACATGGGTTCATGCCCTGGTCTGGGACGATCCCACATGCTGCGGAGCGGCCAGGCCCGTGAGCCATGGCCGCTGAGCCTGCGCGTCCGGAGCCTGTGCTCCGCAACGGGAGAGGCCACAACAGTGAGAGGCCCTCGTACCGCAAAAAAAAAAAAAAAAAAAAAAGCATCACATAATTATATAACTTCAGAGGTTAAAACAAAAACTTTGTATTTTATATGGACCTGTCTTCTTCCTTCTACTTCCCCTCATGAAGGTTTTTATAGCATCTTTCACAGGTGGGCATATATTTCTGTATTCCAATATATGGAAATTAAACCACCTAAACTATAGATACTTATACTATTTAGAATAGGAGTGTGATTTTTTTTTTCCAGCGGGATCTTCTTTAAACCATTATTTAGGCATTTTTAAATTTTTATTTACTTATTTTTTGGCCGCACCCTGCAGCATGCGGGATCGTAATTCCCTGACCAGGGATCAAACCGATGCCGCCTGCAGTGGGAGCTCAGAGTCTTAACCACTGGACTGCCAGGAAAGTCCCTATTTAGGCATTTAAATTCTATAGCCCTCACTGCACTCCAGCATAAATGGACTTGGCAGAGATGGAATCTGGAGACAGGCAGTGTTTGTAATCAGAGAGTTTGTTGAGTTTTAGAATTTGTATTCTTAGAAATAGCATCAGAGACTTGGGTGAATAAGAGGCATTTACCCCAAATGAACTTAGAACTTTTTTCAGAATAGCAGGAAGTATAAACCTAGGCTGGAACTGAATTAGAAATCAGAAATGGTAGTCATGTTTGTACAACAATACTAGAGAAAAAGTAAGTAAGTAAATTAGAAAGATTTGCAGCCCTTTTATTGCTGATGAATTATTAGCTCAACTGCATGTGCATTGGCTTACTTACTTAAAAGATCATCTTTCACTTCTTCTTGTGTGTTGATAAGAAACGTGGAGAAAAATCCAATTACTCTTTACCTTTTTTTTTTTTAGGTACCAATCCATACACTTATTTAGTTTTGGCTTATTTGTCTTTAGAGCAAATTATAATATCTTACAGAGAAAACTCTTTCTAACACTGGTTAATAGAATTAATATCTTATAACAGCAGAGTTATGAGATTTTCATCATATGTAGCTAGGTTTTAGAAAATATGATTTAATTCATAGTGCATCCATTCTGTTAGTAATACGTGATGTTATAAAGATATTTTACCAAATCAGTAGGCAGTCCCGAATCACATACTAGCTGAATAATTAAATGGCCCCAGAGCATATAGATAGAAAGCCAGCTGAAAGAACTACATGTTGATAATCCACCACACAAAGCTAATAAATATGCCCCTGAGTTTTTGCCTCAGGCAAATATTCTTTTCCATATGTTGAAATAAATAAATTTATGATGAAAATAATAGTGACTTGGGGGTCCTGAATTATTTTGAAAATATTTTAATTTGTATTAAAATGCTTTAAAAAGTGATAATGTATGTGTTCATGCAGAATTACATTGTCAACATGATAGAAGAAAATAAACACAAAATAGATGTGAATAAGCCAAAACATTTTCTGCGTAAAGCATTTATTCAGCACGATCAGTCATTTTATTGATAAATGCCTTTATTCAAATTGATGGACTTAAATTTTGCAAAGTTGGCATTGTGTCAGTAACTTTTCTGGGTTATATTTTATTTTTTAGTAATAATCATGAGAGTGTTTTTGGATATACATTAATATTAGATAAAGCTAATTGTAAAGTAGATATTATAATGTAAATTCTACTTTCTTCTTGACTTTAATTATAAAATAATGAATTCTTTAGGAAAAGTTTATTCTCTGAATATGATAATAACTTAGTAGAGAATATAATGTCAAAACTATTTGTCTTATATTTACTTTTAAAGTCAAGTGGAAGTTAAAGGGTAGTAGAGTGAAATGCCAGTATAAATTAGATAGATGTAGGTTAATTTTTGTGAATTAATATTTGTGATACAACTAATATGTTAGATACTTCAGTATTTTTAATGGAAATTATTTTGCTAGTGGCTAGATTACTAAAATAAATTTTTTAATTGTTCTTATGTGGTATGACTTAGTGTTTTGGTTAAGCTTTATCTTTTTTCTAATAGTTTGTCTTATTTTAATACTTTGTCCATTTTTTTTTTTTTGATTAGGAAAGTAAGTATAAGACAGCATGTTCCAGTAAACAAAGAATAGTATATAAACTTATAGGCAAGTCCGTTCTATATAAAGTAAACTACAGCAGAGCTGTGATCTGTAGTTTTCTCAGGAGCTAGCAGGAAAAACAAAACAGGTGTCACTGATACCTATTTACACTAAATAAATTATTTTCATACAGACAACATTAAGTAAAATAGATTAGCATTAAAAAGAATTATAATAATATTAGAAATTGGATAGTTGCCTGTTATATGTAAGGTTCTCTAAGTTTACAGTGTCATCATATAATGAAGAAGTTTGAAATTTAAGAGCTTCTTATCATAAGCAAAGGCTATTTGGCCCCTAAGCCTTTCATGATGCTGCTGAATATTCCACTGCTGTATAATTAGAAAAAACCAAGTCAGGATTCTTCTTCACTGTTTCTTAGGAGTTTAAAATTACTTTCTTCTGGGTTGATATTTATTAGAAAGATTGTTTGCTTTAAAGGGATGGGTTTATTTTCCTTCATTTTAAAAAGTTATTACATAAGCAACAATAAGAAATCTTTTGAAGATTTACTTACAATTCACTCTAATACTAATACTCTCTAATACTTTTCACTTTTCTATTTGCCTGAGTGTTTTTCATATTAATGAAATGTGGGATTTTTTTTTTCACTTTATTTTGTAAAATTTATTTGTCACTGTCCTTTAAATTATGATTTTTTTTTTTTTTTTTTTGGCCATGCCATGTGGCTTGCAGGATCTCAGTTCCCCAGCCAGGGATTGAACCTGGGCCACTAGGCCACCAGTGAACTCCCTAAACTGTGATTTTAAATGGTTGCATCTTTTTTTTTTTTTTTTGCGGTACGCGGGCCTCTGACTGTTGTGGCCTCTCCCATTGCGGAGCACAGGCTCCAGACGTGCAGGCTTAGCGGCCATGGCTCATGGGCCAAGCTGCTCCACGGCATGTGGGATCCTCCTGGACCGGGGCACGAACCCGCGTCCCTGACATTGGCAGGCAGACCCTCAATCACTGTGCACCAGGGAAGCCCTAAATGGTTGCATCTTTTAAAATCAGATTTATATATCATCATTTAGTAAACCTTCCCCTTACTTTAGGAACAGGTAACAAATATTATGAAATATATATGAAATTATGCTGTATTATTTATAGAATTTTAAAATGATTTGGCACTTTTTAGTATTTGGATTTCTTGGACAAAGGGCATTTTTTTTCCTTCTTAATAGGTTCTCCCAGATAACTCTAAAGGTTTCATTTAAAGCAATTTGGGGGATCAGCATATTCAAGTCCTAAATATTTGGAGTGAATAAGTGCAATTTCTTAGTTGGTATTGTTTTCCTGTATGTTTTTTGGAGCGTGAATATTCAAGAGTGCTTGCTGGGATATTATTTTACAAACAATGGCAATGATAGCAACAATAATGTACTAAATAGCACCTAACATTTATACAGTGTTTTCATGGTTATGGTTTATTATCAATAAGAGAAAAAGATATATCAAATGGAGTGTGAAGAAATCCATGGCTTCCTATATTTTCTCCCTTGTTCTGGGAGAAGTCACGCAGAATAAGCTCCTTTTTGTAGCAGTGAAATGCGGCAACATTTATGCAGTACTTCTGCCCAGGGAAGCCTGCTTATGACTCAAAGTTCAAGGTTTTTTATTGGGGGCTGGTCACATAAGAACAGCCATAAGTATCAGAATTCCAAACCCCTAGAAGGAAAGCATGATTTGGTGCCCTAGCCAGGGAAAACAGTCTCATCACTTAAGGAATATTTCAAAAGCCACATTCCCAGACATCATCCAAGAACCAACCCTATTAACAGGCCCTTCTAACATACCTCCCCATCAGAAAAATGAGCCCTGCCCTTCCACATAATAAATTATAGCTGTGAATACAATTGTCCCATATGACAAGTGAGGGTAATTATCTAATAAGGTAGACAACATTGACATTTTATTGCTTTTTATTTGAAATATGTCATTATAATGAGAAATGTGTATATTTGTTAGGTATATTGTTTACAGAAAGAGCTGAAGATTAAAAATCACAGTCTTCAAGAGACTACTGAGCAAAATGTTATTCTGCAGCATACTCTTCAACAACAGCAGCAAATGTTACAACAAGAGACATTTAGAAATGGAGAGCTAGAAGACATTCAGACTAAACTTGAAAAACAGGTATATATTATTGGGCAAAATGGTTTTATGAAATAGAAATTTTTTTTAATTGATAATAGATGTTTTTGCTAGTTATGTAAATTGCTGTTTAACCTCAAAGATACCATATTATAAGAAATATTCTAAATTAACATTGTAAAATGTATAAAATTTTATTCCAATGTAATGTGATCGTGTAATACCATGGGCACATTTTTGTCACTCCATCCAACTTAGTTATAATTTAGTCTTCTTTATTCAGTTTTTCCTTTTTGGACCTGAATATAATACCTATCTGAATCATTATAGCTTTCAGTTTCTTCATTTTGGATCAGGAGATGTGTGATAATCCCTAAAGAAATGCCAAGCAATGCACTAAAAGAAAAATCCCAAAGGAAACTACTCATTTTAAAAAATAAGTTATTACTCCAAAGAAAGAATCCTAGGAAATTTTATTCTAGAATCGAATCTTTTCTCTTTCATTCATTACCAAATTCATCTGAATTATTCTGACAGATATTTCACATTTTTTGTTTTGTTTTCCTCTCATCACACTTTACAGAAAAGTATAAATTAGAAAATGATAGTTCCCAGTAACCTCACTACACCTCACTTTTTGTCATTTGTATGACTTTTTAATCTATGTATTCTAACTTCATCCTCAGCCTCTCCAGTGGAACTAAAGAATCTCTTCTCTGCACATTCAAATATATCAGGCAGGTATTCTGTATTTTCTTTTTTAGAGACATCTGTCCTGTGGCTCTCCATCCCTTTTGTTTAAGTCTAGACCTACTGTTTGCTATGCCTGTTGTACAGCTTCATCCTGAGGCATTTCTTCATCTCATCTGTTATTTGATTCCCACTTTCTAAATCCCTTGTCAGTGACTCCAGTTTTTGTAAGATTGATTATAATTCTTGTTCTTTCTGAAATTGTTTTCATTTCTATAACGGTCTTACGGTTTTCTTCTGAGTTTTTTTTTCCTTAAGTCTATCAATTCCTTTGTATTTTTCATTTGGTTATTTTATTTCTTCATGATCTTTGTTTTAAGAGATTTTTATGTCTTGTTTAATTTATTTGAGGGTCTAAAAAGTTTATATCTAAAAATTCCTTCAGTATTTGGAATAAATTTTCCAGCATATATTTTTTCTACTTTTTATTCATGTTCCACTATGCACAGGTTCCATGTTGGATTTATTCAGATTGTTATCTTTAGATTCTTTCTGCTTATGAGTGTGCCATTTAATCAAACACAGAATGGGTAGATTTTCCATAGTTCCCTTTCCTTTTTACCTGGGTACTATTTTAATTTTATATTTGGAACTTAAGTTGGGGGTGTGGATATTAATGACTTATAATCTGTACTTAGTTCTTCAATGAGAGGTTTTAGAAGAGCAGGGAGGATATCAAAGTCATTAGCCAGATATTAACTTTGAGATCACAGTCATGTAAATGTTCATTGAAAATATGAAGTGGGACTTCCCTGGTGGCACAGTGGTTAAGAATCCACCTGCCAATGCAGGGGACATGGCTTCGATCCCTGGTATGGGAAGATCCCACATTCCACAGAGCAACTAAGTCCGTGCGCCACAACTACCAATCCTGTGCTCTAGAGCCCACAAGCCACAACTGCTGATGCCTATGTGCCCTAGAGCCTGCGCGCCGCAACAAGGAGCCCACGTGCCGCAACTACTGAAGCTTGCGTGCTCTAGGGCCCACTGCTGCAACTACTGAGCCCACATGCTGCAACTACTGAAGGCTGCACGCCTAGAGCCCGTGCTCCGCAACAAGAGAAGCCACTTCAATGAGAAGCCCGTGCACCGCAACGAAGAGTAGCCCCCGCTCGCTGCCATTAGAGAAAGCCTGCATGCAGCAACGAAGACCCAATGCAGCCAAAAAAAAAAATTGAAAAAAAAAAAATGAAGTGGCTGAGGTTAACTAGGGAGAGAACATAGAATGAGGGGTGAGATGCCTGACTTTGACAGAGCTCTGAAGGATACAGTACCTGGAAGCCAAAGTAAGTATTTCATGACTTAAAGGATGATAATTGGTGTCATGGGCTGCTGCAATCAGTGTCAAGTAAATTGAAAGTTGAAAAATGTCCATTGGAATTAGCTGCATGGAAGCCATTGGTGACACAGTGTAGTTTCTGTACAGTGTCTAGATTGCTATGGGTTGAGGAATGAATGAGAAAGTGAGAAAAATGATACAACAAGCATAGAAAAAATCTGAGAAGTTGGGCTATAAAGAAGAGGAAAGAAATGGTGGTAGTCGGAAGGAGGTAGAGGTGTGGAGGAAAGTTTTTTATGATAGGAAGGTCTTGAACATGTTTAAATGCTAATATAAAGAAACCAGAAGAAAGAGAGATTGAAGGTATAGCAGAGAGTAGAGGTAGTAGTATGAGGTTCCTTAAAAAGTGGATTGGAGTTGAATCCAGAACGCCTATGAAGCAGTTTGACTTACATAGGAGGAAGAATACCTCCTGCAATGTAGTAAAACAGGAGGAATGAATAGGAGCAAATGCAAGTTGTAACGTTTGAGGGCAGATGGGAATTCTAGGAATTGGTATGAGCCAATTTGTGAAGAAGGAGAGAAACATAGTTTGACAAGAGAAGAAAGAGCATTTCAGATGAGGATGATGAAAAGAGGAACATTTACCATTATTCTGTACAATTCTTTTAAGTCCTATTTTAGTGTTATGATGTGGTCACTTCTATAAGTATGTGTGTGAATGAAATATCTTTCTTATTAAAAATTGTTTTGCTTTCATATTTTCAAAACGTTGTTTCTCGGTCTATACTTTGATTTTTGTAATAACATCTTGAAACTGATAGGCTAGGCTACAAATTTATATAAATATTTTTCTTCTGAAAAATGTTGAACTGTGTTTGAATTTAAAATACTTAACTGAAAATTGCTTTACAAGGTATCTAAACTTGAACAAGAGCTTCAGAAACAAAGGGAAAGTTCAGCTGAAAAGTTGAGAAAAATGGAGGAAAAATGTGAAGCAGCCACATATGAAGCAGATTTAAAAAGGCAAAAAGTTATTGAACTTACTGGTACTGCCAGGTAAAATGAATATGTTAGTTTATATTTGTCTTCCTGCTTTAACATCAGTCATATTTGAGTTTCACTATCAGATAATGTTCAGTGAAGTGTTTGCTTGAGGAATTAATTTCTCTACGGTGTGTGTTCCTATAGCATTGTTTGCACCTCCCTCATATCCCTCATGCCTTTTAGTATTATAAGTTAATATCCTTTTCTCTCCTACTATATTGTAGTTCCTTAAGGCCAAGATAATATATGGTTTAATTTAAGGGTCCTCCCACAACAATCAGCATAGTTCCTTGTACCTCATAGGCACTCAGCAACTGTTTTATTAACTTGAATTGTGAAAGTGTCAGGCAAAGATGTACTCATATAGAAGAATTTTTCATGGATTCTAATTGTTTATGGGAGGGAGTAAATTAATAGAAGAAAACAGTGGTCTCAACATTGACTGAACATTAAAATCACCCAAGGAGCTTTAAAAAGTACTGATGTCTAGGTCCTACCTCTAAAGATCCTGATTTAATGTGGCTGGGCTGTGCTAAGAAATCAATAGTTATTTGGTCAAGAAAGGGAATTATGAGCTGAAAGTTATACCTAGCTTCCCCAGACCTCTTATACTTTGTCGACAAGAGTTGACATAATTAATAATAAACTCTTAATTAGCCCACCATTCTACCAACAGGAATAAGAGTTAACTTATGCATTTGAACTTAAACCACAACATCCTCAGACTCCCTCCCCCCCTCTGACAGGAATAAAGGTAGGGCCTTTGTGCTTTGAGTAGCAACTTGCTTACCCAGATATCCTCAACTCTGTCAGTGGGGTCAAGAAGATATCCTATGTTTAAGACTAAGACCACAGTTCTTCAGACCTTCTTTCTGCCATTGATATTTGTCTATCCACTAACACAGCCTCACCACCAGTGTGTACCTTAATTCCACAAAAACTAATCAACATTGTAACTTTATCTTTGCTTGTGCCAGATTCCCCAGAAGCATCAGATTTCCAGGCGTTAGATTTACCCTCATCTCTCTTACTAAGTCCCAAAAACCTCCTCATGTATTTTCTTTCCTTTTCCCACCGCATCTGAACTTGTGAAAGATTTCCACTTTATCCTCTGGAATTTACAGTCCATCCTGAAAGACATTCCCTATATTCTCTATCTCTTCTTTTCTCTTGCTGTAACAGAAATGTGACTGTCCCCTGAGGACATTGCTTCTTCCCCTGCAGCTCTCTAAAGTAAAAACTTTTCCCCATAGTTCTTGTACCACAGGATTGAGATGGGAAATAGTATGACATACACCATGAACCTCATGTCATCAGATCATATCATCCCTCGTTGTTGCTGACACCTACAGGCCACCTGACTTACATAGCTCTTTCCAACACTACTCCTGTCTTTATTCTTGGGGATTTCAATATACATCTATCTAGCTGATCCTCAGTCACTCACTCACATTATTTATCCTAGATCTTATCGTTTCTAATATCTCCATTATTTCAACATAATCTGAATACTATGCATCTACCTCTATATTATTACCTCATTCCCTTTAATATCCCCAATTCAACAATTCTTTGATGTAAGTAGGACCTCTGATCTATCAGTTCTACCACTGTCTCATTCCCTAATGCCCTTTCTCCTCTCTTTACCTAGCTTAAATTCTAATTAATCATTAAAATCACTGATTTACATAAACCCACAACTCCTTTACCTCTCTCTTACTTTGTGTACACAGAACTAAAAATCCAACTCAGACTAATTCATGCTTGCATCTTTACAGAGGCTGGAGAAAAATATAACGACACTGACCAGTCTTACTTTATACCCATAACTTCAAAACCTTAGGCATTTTCTTAATGCTGTCTGTCTGGCAATCATAATGTTACTTACTCTTGTAGAGGACTCTTTTACACCTTTGCCTTTTCTTTCAAAACTCTAACAACCCCTCCCCAATCCTTGCTCTCACTGATGATCTTGCTTTTGTTTCACTAAGAAAATTGAAATAACTGCTTCTTTCTTTTCTTACTCCCACCCTTTGACTTCTAGACAAAAACTCTTCTTAATTATAGCTAATAGGCACATTCAGTGGGTAAAATAAGTTCTAATTACTAGTAGGAAGTTTATGAACTAGATGAATAAACTTCATAAGAAAGATATATCTAGTTCCAAGATCTTCTCTTCATGAAGCAGGGTTTTTCTCTGTTCCAACTATTGCTTCTTTCACTTCTGAAACTATAATTTATAAAACTGTTTTTCTCTCCCAAAAGGGTTTAGAGTTAAAATATATCTGTTATATATCTCTGTGGATCTGTTTTAAAATTAAAATATCTCAGGGATTTTCCTGGTGGTCCAGTGGTTAAGACCTCGCCTTCCAGTGCAGGGAGTGCGGGTTCATCCCTTGTCACGGAGCTAAGATCCCACATGCCTCGCGGCCAAAAAGCCAAAACATAAAACAGAAGCAATATTGTAACAAATTCAATAAAGACTTTAAAAATGGTCCACATCAAAAACAACAATCTTAAAAAAAAAATTAAAATATCTCCAAATAGAAAGAAAACAAATACATTGAGCACCTTTTGTGTGCCAGGTAGTGTACTAGGTAAATACATCATATAGTTGTGTTTAGTGGCATGTAATTGGTACAGAATTACAATCTATTAGTTGGAGCATTTTTAACAATATAATAGGTGATTTAAGATTCTGACTAGACATTTTTTTTATACAGCAGGTTTTTAATTAGTTATCCATTTTATACATATTAGTATATATATGTCATATATAGTATATATATGTCAGTCCCAATCCCAATCTCCCAATTCATCCCACGATGACTAGACATTTTGCTGATATTTGTCTTTATATAACTTGCAGACTTTGTTCCGTCAGAGATAAGTTAGTTGATTTTTAAGTTTCCAAATTATTTTTTATTTTATTTTTTGTTTTTAATTAGGCAAGTAAAACTTGAGATGGATCACTACAAAGAAGAACTGTATAAAATGGAAAAAGAAATAAAGCACCTAAAACGAGATGGAGAAAATAAAGCAATGCATCTCTCTCAGTTAGACATGATATTAGAACAGACAAAGACAGAACTAGATAAGAAAACAAACGCTGGTAAGCAACAGGTTAGCTCAGCTTAGCTGCCTGCATTTGTATATTTAAAGAAATGGAATAAAGTGAGAATTTGAGATGACGGGGAAGGGACAATCAGTGGTATTTTGCCTCTTATAGATGAATAAAATTGGATATTCTTAATTATAATTGCTTACAAATTTCTGAATAACAAGTAGTTTATATATATAATTCTAAAATTATTCTCTGCTTTTAACAGTGAAGGAGTTAGAAAAGTTACAGCACCACACTGAAACTGAACTAACAGAAGCCTTGCAGAAACGGGAAGTACTAGAGACTGAACTACAAAATGCTCATGGAGAATTAAAGAGTACTTTAAGACAACTCCAGGAATTGAGAGATGTTCTACAGAAGGCTCAGTTATCATTAGAGGAAAAATACACTACTATAACGGATCTCACAGCTGAACTTAGGTGAGTTAAATACTAAAAAATGATATCACAGTTACAGGTACTTCACTTTATTACCCTTAGTCCTTGGGTCATACTATAGAGTTTGTTGTTGAATTCTAGATGTCCAAACTTCTCAACTGCCTTTAGCTCACTGTGTCTCATCCTAGGCAGTTCATCCCATGCTCCATCTCACTAATATAGCTGTTGCTGTTGGCTAATACTTCCATCCTTGTTCTTTGGACCATTTTACATTGGCCCTCTCCTGTATCCCACAGTGATAAAAAATGGTTGGACCAGCATACAGCACTGATTAATAAAAAAATAATATTAACAATAACAATGTTGTTCTTTGTGTTAAGCCCTAATTTTGTGCCAGGACTGTGGCAGGGACTTCATATATGATCTCAATCATTTCTTTACAACAAACCTATGAGTTGCTTATTATCACCTTTTTATGCTTGAGAAAACTGAGGCTTGAGAAAATTAAGTAAAATGCCCAAAGTCAGATAGTAGGGTCCAGAGAGGGGAGTGAAACACAGTCTGTCCAACTCTAAAGTCTGGTTTCTTAGATTAGCAGCAATAGCATAAAATGCTGTTCCAGTACACATCTGTGGTGAGTAGGGGTGGAGAGCCAGACTGGAGCCAAAGTGTAGGAAATGGATTCTGAAAAGGAAAACAGACCAGGATGTGAAATGTGTAATGAAAGAACAGGATAGAGAGAAGCAAGGTGACCCAGAATCTTAGATATTGTAACCTTTGGTTCAGAGCAGGACCCCTTCTCTTTTCTACCCACAAATTCATTCTTGGTAAATTTCACATAGCTTTAAATACTATGTGTCAGAGACTTCCAAACCCATATCTCTAGAAAGACCTCTTCTCCAAACTCCAGACTCATATCTAATGACCTACTTGTTATCTCCACTGACGTATTTTAAAGAGGCATCTTAAACGTGGCTAAAACAATTCATTTTTTTTACTCATAACCCTGCCCTTCCTCCATCTCATTATTATGGAGTTGCTTAAACCAGAAATCTATAAGATTATTTTTATCTCTTTCCCTCCCTTTTTTCATCCAGTCTATTAGCAAGTCATGTCAACTTTATTTCTAAAACATATTCTGAAGTCTATTGATTTCTTATTTTTTCTACTACCACCTTAGCACAAGCCATCATCATCTCTCACCTGGTCTGTTGCTGTGGCTTCCCACCTGGTCTACCAGCTTAAATTCTTGACCTTCCCCACAATTCATTCTCCACAGAATTGATTTAAGTTTATGATTCAAAACATAAATCAGATCATATTGCTTCCCTACTTAATCTTCTAATGGCTTCCCAAAAGATTCAGAATAATAACCAAGCTCCTTGGGAAATGTAAATCAAAACCACAATGAGATACCACTTCAATCCGACTAAGATGGCCATAATAAAAACAAACAAAAAAAATCCAAGCAGAAGGGCTTCCCTGGTGGCACAGTGGTTGAGAGTCCGCCTGTCCGTGCCCTGGTCCGGGAAGATCCCACATGCCACGGAGCGGCTGGGCCCATGAGCCATGGCCGCTAAGCCTGCGCGTCCAGGGCCTGTGCTCCGCAACGGTAGAGGCCACAACAGTGAGAGGCCCGTATACCACACACACACAAAAAAATCCAAGCAGAAAATAACAAATGGTAAACTAAAAAGGTTACAGGCTCTGTGGAAAACAGTGTGGCAGTTCCTCAATAATTTAAACATACATTAACCATATAACTCAGTAATTCCACTCCTAGGTAAGTACCCAAAAGAATTGAAAACAGGTGTTCAAACAAAACTTTTGCACAAATGTTCATAGTACGGCTATTCCCAATAACCAGTAAGTGGAAACGACCCAGCTGTACACTGATAGTTGTAAATGGATAAACACAGTATGGTGTATCCATACAAGGAATATTAATCAGCCGTGAAAAGGAATAGAGTACTGAAACATGCTACAACATGGATGAACCTTGAAAATATTATGCTAAATGAAAGAAACCACATATATGTTGCATAATTCCATTTATATGAAATATCCAGAATTAGCAAATCCATAGAGATAGAAAGCAGATTAATTGTTGCCAGGGACTGGGGGAAGGGAGAATGGAAAAAACTGCTAATGGATATGGGGTTTCCATTCAGAATGATGAAAAAGTACTGGAAATAGTGGTAATGGTTACACAACATTGTGAATGTACTTAGTGTAACTGCATTGTACACTTTAAAGTGGTTAAAATGGTAGATCTTATGTTATATGTATTTTACCACAATCGAAAAAAAAAATACAAGCTCCTTTTCCTGTAATACAAAGCCCAAGGTTCCTGCCTACTTCTCTGGCCTCATTTCATATTGTTCTGCTTGCTCCTGGCTTTTTTATTGTACTTAAAGTTTACCAAGTTTTTTCCCACCTTAGAACTTCTGTCATAGCTGTTTCTTCGGCCTGAAATAATGGTTGTGTGGCCAGCTTCTTCATACCCTTCACATTACCTCAAAGCGCCCTTCCCTGACCACCTATTCTAATATAGCCTCCCAGTCACGATCTCATCACTGTATTTAATGTTCTAACATAGCACTTTATATTATATTTTTCATGTTGAGTTGTTTATTATTTATAGTCCATCTCTTGACCTAGTAGAATGTAAGCTCTATGTAATGAACAACATCTATCCTGTTGCCTATTAATTCCACTGTACATAGAACCTTGACATATAAGAAACATCCAATAAATATTTGCTAAATGATTAAGGGAATGAATGGATAAAAGAAGTAAAACAAAACTTAAAATTCTAGCTAGTAGCTGAATTTTGGAAGCGCAGCTATTCATATAGACAGCAATTAGAGCTATCTTTAGAATTCATTTCATATTACTTTTAGAACATAAGTTTAGCCTTGTATGAACTCTTCAGGCTTTTAGGAGAACAGTAAACATCTCATTAAAGAAGTTCAGAATCTGCTTTTTAAAGTCAGCACCTTTATTGTTTCATATTTAAGATTGGAAAATCATATGAAGATTCAAGATCAACAACATTTTCATCCTTTGTGATATCAGAACTTAGAGTTTGAAATTAAAATTCTCTGATCAGAGGCTTCAGAGTGATATAAATATTAAAATTGTATCATTTTAAGCATTTTTATATATAAAATTATTCATAAGTTAGTGTTTTAAGAGGGCTAGAATTTATAAAAATACATTAAAAAAATACATTTAAAATATTTCTATATTAGACTTCAATACTTCACTAAATGTAAGGTGTCATTTTGAATAAAATTTGCATAAGAAATACAGTGGTCGTTTACTGAGCTTTGGATATCAGGGACATCAATCATGAGATAAATGCCTCGTTCAATTATAGTGAACTCACAGCTATTATATATAAAAGACTTGCAGGGGCTTCCCTGGTGGCGCAGTGGTTGGGAGTCTGCCTGCCAATGCAGGGGACGCAGTGCCCCGGTCCGGGAGGATCCCACATGTGGAGCAGCTGGGCTGCTGGGCCTGCACGTCCGGAGCCTGTGCTCCGCGATTGGAGAGGCCACAACTGTGAGAGGCCCGCATAACGCAAAAAAAAAAAAAAAAAAGACTTGCAAACACTCCTTTGATCTATAGATGAAAAAGTATAGATATATTTTAAAAATTCTTATACTGATTCAATCTTATTCCCTGGTAGTGCTTTTAACATTTAGCTTAAATTGTCTCCAATAGTAGAATCTGAGAAAGCCAGAGATAAACCCACGCATATATGTCACCTTATCTTTGATAAAGGAGGCAAGAATATACAGTGGAGAAAAGACAGCCTCTTCAATAACTGGTGCTGGGAAAACTGGACAGGTACATGTAAAAGTATGAAATTAGAACACTCTCTAACACCATACACAAAAATAAACTCAAAATGGATTAAAGACCTAAATGGTAAGGCCAGACACTATCAAACTCTTAGAGGAAAACATAGGCAGAACACTCTATGACATAAATCACAGCAAGATCCTTTTTGACCCACCTCCTAGAGAAATGGAAATAAAAACAAAAATAGATAGGACCTAATGAAACTTCAAAGCTTTTGCACAGCAAAGGAAACCATAAACAAGACAAAAAGACAACGTTCAGAATGGGAGAAAATACTTGCAAATGAAGCAACTGACAAAGGATTAATCTCCAAAATTTACAAGCAGCTCATGCAGCTCAATATCAAAAAAACAACCCAATCCAAAAATGGGCAGAAGACCTAAATAGACATTTCTCCAAAGAAGATATACAGATTGCCAACAAACACATGAAAGAATGCTCAACATCATTAATCATTAGAGAAATGCAAATCAAAATTACAATGAAATATCATCTCACATGGGTTCAGAATGGACATCATCAAAAAATCTGTAAACAATAAATGCTGGAGAGGGGGTGGAAAAAAGGGAACCCTCTTGCACTGTTGGTGGGAATGTAAATTGATACAGCCACTATGGAGAAGAGTATGGAGGTTCCTTAAAAAACTGCAAATAGAACTACCATATGACCCAGCAATCCCACTACTGGGCATATACCCTGAGAAAACCATCATTCAAAAAGAGTCATGTACCAAAATGTTCATTGCAGCTCTATTTACAATAGCCAGGACATGGAAGCAACCTAAGTGTCCATCATCGGATGAATGGATAAAGAAGATGTGGCACATATATACAATGGAATATTACTCAGCCATAAAAAGAAACAAAATTGAGTTATTTGTAGTGAGGTGAATGGACCTGGAGTCTGTCATGCAGAGTGAAGTAAGTCAGAAAGAGAAAAACAAATACCGTATGCTAACACATATATATAGAATCTAAGGGGAAAAAAAAAGGTCATGAAGAACCTAGGGGCAAGACGGGAATAAAGACAGACCTACTACAGAATGGACTTGAGGATATGGGGAGGGGGAAGGGTAAGCTGTGACAAAGTGAGAGAGTGGCATGGACATATATACACTACCAAATGTAAAATAGATAGCTAGTGGGAAGTAGCCGCATAGCACAGGGATATCAGCTCTGTGGTTTGTGACCACCTAGATGGGTGGGATAGGGAGGGTGGGAGGGAGGGAGACGCAAGAGTGAAGAGATATGGGAACATATGTATATGTATAACTAAGTCACTTTGTTATAAAGCAGAAGCTAACACACCATTGTAAAGCAATTATACTCCAATAAAGATGTTTTAAAAAAATTCCCATAAGAAATACAGTGGTCGTTTACTGAGCTTTGGATATCAGGGACATCAATCATGAGATAAATGCCTCGTTCAGTTATAGTGAACTCACAGCTATTATATATAAAAGACTTTGAAACACTCCTTTGATCTATAGATGAAAAAATATAGATATATTTTTAAAATTCTTATACTGATTCAATCTTATTCCCTGGTAGTGCTTTTAACATTTAGCTTAAATTGTCTCCAATAGTAGAATCTGAGTTAACTTTTGCCTTTTTAGAACACTCTGTTAAAGTAGTTGCATTGATATCAGTCATTTTCTTTATACATTATTCCTTTAATGTGAGCTCTCAATCTGAAATAGTTGAATATATCCTGTCACTTTTAACTTACAGGAAAGGTAACCCACTTGATTTAATTTTTTTGAAACTATAATATTCCTATTTATTTGCTTAGATCTTTTTCACTTTGTTAAATTGCAGGGAATGCAAGATGGAGATTGAAGACAAAAAGCAAGAACTCCTTGAAATGGATCAGGCACTTAAGGAGAGAAATTGGGAGCTAAAGCAAAGAGCAGCTCAAGTTGGTTTTCTTAACTATATATATATATATATTTTTAACTATATTTTAATGAAATTTTCTGTTAAAATACAATCGCACAAGGTTTCAGAGGTCCCCTCTTTTTGGCAAAATAGACATTTTTATAGCTTTTTTTAAAAAATTCATTTATTTTGGTGTGTTAGGTCTTTGTTGCTATGAGCGGGCTTTCTCTACTCTTCATTGCTGTGTGTGCGCTTCTCATTGAGGTGGCTTCTCGTTGCAGAGCACGGGCTCTAGGCATGTGGGCTTCAGTTGTGGTGCATGGGCTCAGTAGTTGTGGCTCCCGGGCTCTAGAGTGCAGGCTCAGTAGTTGTGGCTCGTGGGCTTAGTTGCTGCGCAGCATGTGGGATCTTCCTGGACCAGGGCTCGAACCCGTGTCCCCTGCATTGGCAGGCAGATTCTTAACCACTGTGCCACCAGGGAAGTCCCTTTATAGGTATTTCTTTTTTATGTGCATATAAATATTTTTAAAATTAGAAATATGTCGTCTCTCTTTATCTTGCTATTTTTATAGCAGGTGGATTTTCGGGAATGAAGTTTAGCTTAGTATCTGAACCTTTTGATCTCTTTTAATACTGTATATCAGAAGAAAATGGGATTAAAGGAGTTACTTGCTCAGCTAGTATTTATTAGAGGAACAAAAATATTCAGAAGGCATTATTTAGCAACATCTTTTTTAAAAGACTTTATTTTTTAGAGCAGTTTTAGGTTCACAGCAAAATTGAGCAGCAGGTAGAGAGATTTCCTGTAAACGCCCCACCCCCACAGATGCGCAGCCTTCCCCATTATCAACATTCCCTGCCAGAATGGTACATTTGTTAAAGCTGATGAACCTATTGATACATTGACACTTCATAATCACCCAAAGTCCATAGTTTACATTACAGTTTACTTTTGTGTTATACATTCTAGGAGTTTGGACAGCTATCCATCATTATGGTATCATTCAGAATATTTTCACTGCCCTAAAAATCCTCTGTGCCCCACCTATTCATCCCTCTCCCTCTTATCCCAACCCTGGCAACCACTGATTTTTTGCTGTCTTTGTAGTTTTGCCTTTTCCAGAATGTCATACAGTTGGAATCATATTGTATTGTAGCCTTTTCAGATTGGCTTCTTTCACTTAGTAATATGCATTTAAGTTTCCTCCGTGTCTTTTCAAAGCTTATTTCTTTTTAGCATGGAATAGTGTTCCATTGCCTGGATATATTATGGTTTATTTATCCATTCACCTGTTGAAGGATATCTTGTATTGCCTTTGCTCCTTTGTCAAAGATCAGTCGACTATATCTACATGGGTTTGTTTCTGGTCTCTTCTGTTCCATTGATTTATTCACCTATTCTTTCATCAGTACCACACTGTCTTGATTACTGTACCTTTTTAGTAAGTCTTGAAGTTGAGTAATGTCAGTTTTCCAACTTTGTTCTCTTTCAAAATTGTGTTGGCTCTTCTGGGTTTTTTGCCTCTCCCTATAAACTTTAGAAGCAGTTTGTTGATATCCACAAAATAACTTGCTGGGATTTTGATTGGCATTGCCTTGAATCTATACATCAAGTTGGGAAGAACTGACATCTTGACAATATTAAGTCTTCCTATCCATGAACGTGAACTCTCTCTGCATTTATATAATTCTTTGATTTCTTTCATTGGAGTTTTATAGTTTTCCATATATAGATCTTGAATATGTTTAGATTTATAACTATTTCATTTTGGAGAATGCTAGTATAAATGATAATTTTGTTTTTAACTTCAAATTTCTCTTGTTCATTGCTGGTACATGGGAAAGCAATTGATTTTTGTGTATTAACCTTGTATCCTGCAACCTGCTATAATCACTTATTAGTTCCAGGAATTTTTTTGTCAAATCCTTTGGATTTTCTACCTAAATCATCATGTCATCTGCAAACAAAGACAGTTTTATGTCTTCGTTCCCAACCTGTATACCTTTTATTTCCTTTTCTTGTCTTACTGCATTAGCTAGGATATCCTGTACAATGTTGAAAAGAAGTGGTATGATGGAATATCTTTGCCTTGTATCTGATCTTAATGGGAAAACTTTGAGTTTCTCACTGTTAAGTGTGATGTTAGCTGTTAGTTTTTTTTAGATATTCTTTATCAAGTTGAGGTAGTTACTCTCTATTCCTAGTTTACCAAGAGTTTTTATCATGAATAGATGTTGGATTTTGTCAAATGTTTTTTTCTGCATCTATTAATATGATCATGTGATTTTCTTCTTTAGCCTATTGATGTGATCAGTTACATTAATTAATTTTCAAATGTTGAAAAAGCCTTTCATACCTAGAAAAAATCCCGCTTGTTGTGGTGTATAGTTCTTTTTATACATCGTTGGGTATGATTCAATAATATTTTATTGAGAATTTTTATATCTATGTCCATGAAAGATACTGGTCTGTAATTTTCTTTCTTTATAATGTCTCTGTCTGGTTTTGGTATCAGGGTAATGCTGGCCTCAGAGAATGAGTTAGTATTTCCTCTGCTTCTATCTACTAAGTGAGAGTGTAGAGAATTAGTACAATTTCTTCCTTAAATGTCTGGTAGAATTCAGCAATGAATCCATCTGAGTCTGGTGCTTTCTGTTTTGGAAAGTTATTAATCATTGATTGAATTTCTTTAATAGATATAGGCTTATTCAGATTGTCTCTTCTTGTGTGAGTTTTGGCAGATTGTGCCTTTCGAGTAACTCGTCTATTTCATCTAGTTTTATTAAATTCATGGGCAGAGAGTTGTTTTTAATATTTCTCTATTATCCTTTTAATATCCTTGAGATTTGTAGTAATATCTCCTCTTTCATTTCTCATATTAGCAATTTATATCCTCTCTTTTTTTTTTTAAGTTAGTCTGGCTGGAGACTTATTTATATTATTGATCTTTTCAAAGAACCAGCTTTTTGCTTTGTTGATTTTCTCTATTGATTTCCCAATTTTAATTTCATTGAGTTCTGCTCTAATTTTTATTATTTTTTTCTTCTGCTTAGTTTGGATTTAATTTGCTCTTCTTTTTCTAGTTACCCAAGGTGGAAGCTTAGATGACTGATTTTAGGCCTTCTTTTTTTTTTTTTTCTTTTGCGGTATGCGGGCCTCTCACTGTTGTGGCCTCTCCCGTTGAGGAGCACAGGCTCCAGACGCGCAGGCTCAGCAGCCATGGCTCACGGGCCCAGCCACTCCGTGGCATGTGGGATCTTCCCGGACCTGTGTCCCCTGCATCGGCAGGCGGACTGTCAACCACTGCACCACCAGGGAAGCCCCTTTCTTCTTTTCTAATATATGCATTCAATGCTTTAGATGTTCCTCCAAGCAGTGCTTTTGCTGCATCCCACAATTTTCATGTTGCATTGTTATTTAGCAGCTTTTTTTTCTTAAATTTTATTGATTTTGGGGGGCTGCATTTGGTCTTTATTGCTGTGCGTGGGCTTTCTCTAGTTGCGGTGAGCGGGAGCTACTCTTGGTTGCAGTGTCCGGGCTTCTTATTGCAGTTGCTTCTCTTTGTTGTGGAGCACGGGCTCTAGGTGCGCGGGCTTCAGTAGTTGCAGCATGTGGATTCAGTAGTTTTGGCACACGGGTTCTAGAGTGCAGGCTCAGTAGTTGTGGTGGACAGGCTTAGTTGCTCCGCGGCATGTGGGATCTTCCTGGACCAGGGATAGGACCCATGTCGCCTGTATTGGCAGGCGGATTCTTAACCACTGCACCACCAGGGAAGCCCTAGCAGCTTTTATCAAGCATAAAATGAAGTTTGAATCATTTTATTTGTCACTTATGTGAACATAATCATATATCAGGCTCAAGATCCAGTATTATTAAGCAATGATTATTTGTCTCATTCTTTTTTTTTTTTTTTTTTTTTTTTTGCGGTACGCGGGCCTCTCACTGTCGTGCCTTCTCTCGTTGCGGAGCACAGGCTCTGGACGTGCAGGCTCAGCAGCCATGGCCCATGGGCCCAGCCGCTCCGCGGCATGTGGGATCCTCCCAGACCGGGACACAAACGCATGTCCCCTGCATTGGCAGACGGACTGTCAACCACTGCACCATCAGGGAAGCCCCTATCTCATTCTTTTTAATAATTTATTGGAGATGCATTTATTCTTTAGTTATACCCACTATAAACAATTCTAAATCACATTGCAAGCACACAGTTTTCCATGTTAGAATAAAATTGAGTGACAGCTTAATGTTGCTTTTGTACTTAGGTTACACATTTGGATATGACTATTCGTGAGTACAGGGGAGAAATGGAACAGAAAATAATTAAATTAGAGGGTACTCTGGAGAAATCAGAATTGGAACTTAAAGAAAGCAACAAACAGGTAAATTATTAAAAATTACGTCTTAAATTGTTTAAAAAAAAATAACTCCTTAACTGTAAGCATCTGTTATTCACATAATACAGCTTTTTAATAGAATACAAACAATAAAAATACTGCATTATTTTACTTTATTATTTATTTATTAATTTATTGTTTTTTCACTGTGCTGTGTAGCTTGTGGGATCTTAGTTCCCCAACCAGGGATTGAACCTGGACCCTTGGCAGTGACAGCATGGAGTCCTAACAACAGGACTGCCAGGGAATTCCCAATACTGCATAATTTTAATTATCTTGTACATCCTATGTTATATTCATTTTCTTCTCAATTTTTTCCCCAGCTTTATTGAGGTATAATTGACAAAAAATGGCATATATTTAAGATGTACAACATGATGTTTTAATATACACATACATTATGACATAATTACAGTAATCAAACTAATTAACATATCTACAACCTCATATAGTTACTTTTTTTTTATTAGAACACTTATCAAGTATACAACATAGTATTACTAATTACAGTCATTCACTGTGCCATACATTGTATCTCCAGAATTTATTCATCCTGCCTAACTGAAACTTTGTACCCTTCCACCACATTTTTCCTTTTCTCTGACTCCCCGGTTTCTGGTGCTTACCCTTTTAATGTTATTTTAAATGTATTTTTTTGTATGTCAACGTGTTCACATATTTATTATAATGTGTGCATATCTGAATATGTATAAAATATCTCTGGAAGGATTTGCAAGTAATTCTATTAACTGTGGTTGCCTCTAAGGAAGGAACATAGTAAAGAAGGGGAGTTTGTTTTCACTAATTGTATTTTTTACCTCATGCAGATAATTACCTGTAAAATTAATTTTAAGGCCATGTAATGTGTGTTGTTTTAACGTACCTTTATTTTCCTTTCTTATACAAATGTGGTTGAGACTGTCATCTCTTTTAGTATATTTTAGGTATACATATAAGCATTTTATTAGGCACAAGAATTCTGATACTTATGTCAAAGTTATGGTTGTTTTAAGAAAAACATATTTTTGAATCTTTGTTCTAATAAACTCACTCTCTTCTAAAAGAAAAAAGAAAAAAAAAGAAAAACATTTTTAAATTTTTGCTATTTTAGATATACATGTTTAAAACCTGACTTACTTGGATTGCATTTATGACTGAAGAATTATTTTTCTTTAGTTACATTAACATTGCTCTGTTTAAAATTCAGATAGAAGGTTTGAATGAAAAATTGCAAAATGCCAAAGAACAACTTCGAGAAAAAGAGTTTATAACACTACAGAATGAACAGGAGATAAGTCAACTGAAAAAAGAAACTGAACGGACACAAGAAAAGATGAAAGAAATGGAAACTGTAAGCAAATTATTTTCCTCCTAAGGAACAAGATTGATATAAATCGTTATGTTTTGTTTTTGTTTTTTTTTGTTTTTTTAGTGTTAAATATGCTTTATATTTATCTTTTATAAATTTATTTATTTATTTTTTGGCTGTGTTGGGTCTTCGTTGTGGTGCGCGGGCTTCTCATTGCGGTGGCTTCTCTTTGTTGCAGAGCACAGGCTCTAGGCACACGGGCTGCAGTAGTTGTGACAAGCGGGCTCAGTAGTCGTGGCTCATGGGCTCTAGAGCACAGGCTCAGTAGTTGTGGTTTGCAGGCTCAAGAGCACAGGCTCAGTAGTTGTGGTGCATAGGCTTAGTTGCTCCATGGCATGTGGGATCTTCCCGGACCAGGGATCGAACCTGTGTCCCCTGCATTAGCAGGCGGATTCTTAACCACTGCACCACCAGGGAAGTCCTTATGCTTCTTTTTTTTTTTTTCTGCCTCTTTATTAGAGTATAATTGCTTTACAATGGTGTGTTAGTTTCTGCTTTATAACAAAGTGAATCAGTTATACATATACATATGCTCCCATATCTCTTCCCTCTTGCATCTCCCTCCCTATCCCACCCCTCCAGGCGGTCACAAAGCACCGAGCTGATCTCCCTGTGCTATGCGGATGCTTCCCACTAGCTATCTACCTTACGTTTGGTAGTGTATATATGTCCATGCCTCTCTCTCGCTTTGTCACAGCTTACCCTTCCCCCTCCCCATATCCTCAAGTCCATTCTCTAGTAGGTCTGTGTCTTTATTCCTGTCTTACCCCTAGGTTCTTCATGACATTTTTTTCCCTTAAATTCCATATATATATGTTAGCAAAATTTGTTTTTCTCTTTATAACTTACTTCACTCTGTATGACAGACTCTAGGTCTATCCATCTCATTACAAATAGCTCCATTTCATTTCTTTTTATGGGTAATATTCCATTGTATATATGTGCCACATCTTCTTTATCCATTCATCTGATGATGGACACTTAGATTGTTTCCATCTCCTGGCTATTGTAAATAGAGCTGCAATGAACATTTTGGTACATGACTCTTTTTGAATGATGGTTTTCTCAGGGTATATGCCCAGTAGTGGGATTGCTGGGTCATATAGTAGTTCTATTTGCAGTTTTTTAAGGAACCTCCATACTGTTCTCCATAGTGGCTGTACCAATTCACATTCCCACCAGCAGTGCAAGAGTGTTCCCTTTTCTCCACACCCTCTCCAGCATTTATTGTTTGTAGATTTTTTGATGATGGCCATTCTGACTGGTGTGAGATGATATCTCATTGTAGTTTTGATTTGCATTTCTCTAATGATTAATGATGTTGAGCATTCTTTCATGTGTTTGTTGGCAGTCTGTATATCTTCTTTGGAGAAATGTCTATTTAGGTCTTCTGCCCATTTTTGGATTGGGTTGTTTGTTTTTTTGTTATTGAGCTGCTTATAAATTTTGGAGATTAATCCTTTGTCAGTTGCTTCATTTGCAAATATTTTCTCCATTCTGAGCGTTGTCTTTTTGTCTTGTTTATGGTTTCCTTTGCTGTGCAAAAGCTTTGAAGTTTCATTGGTCCCATTTGTTCATTTTTGTTTTTATTTCCATTTCTCTAGGAGGTGGGTCAAAAAGGATCTTGCTGTGATTTATGTCATAGGGTGTTCTGCCTATGTTTTCCTCTAAGCGTTTGATAGTTTCTGGCCTTACATTTAGGTCTTTAATCCATTTTGAGCTTATTTTTGTGTATGGTGTTAGGGAGTGATCTAATCTCATACTTTTACATGTACCTGTCCAGTTTTCCCAGCACCACTTATTGAAGAGGCTGTCCTTTCTCCACTGTACATTCTTGCCTCCTTTATCAAAGATAAGGTGACCATATGTGCATGGGTTTATCTCTGGGCTTTCTGTCCTGTTCCATTGATCTATCTTTCTGTTTTTGTGCCAGTACCATACTGTCTTCATTACTGTAGCTTTGTAGTATAGTCTGAAGTTAGGGAGCCTAATTCTTGCAGCTCCGTTTTTTGTTCTCAAGATTGCTTTGGCTATTCAGGGTCTTTTGTGTTTCCATACAAATTGTGAAATTTTTTGTTCTAGTTCTGTGAAAAATGCCAGTGGTAGTTTGATAGGGATTGCATTGAATCTGTAGATTGCCTTGGGTAGTAGAGTCATTTTCACAACGTTGATTCTTCCAATCCAAGAACATGGTATATCTCTTCATCTATTTGTATCATCTTTAATTTCTTTCATCAGCGTCTTATAATTCTCTGAATACAGGTCTTTTGTCTCCTTAGGTAGGTTTATTCCTAGATATTTTATTCTTTTTGTTGCAATGGTAAATGGGAGTGTTTTCTTGATTTCACTTTCATATTTTTCATCATTAGTGTATAGAAATGCCAGAGATTTCTGTGCATTTTGTATCCTGCTACTTTACCAAATTCATTGATTAGCTCTAGTAGTTTTCTGGTAGCATCTTTAGGATTCCCTATGTATAGTATCATGTCATCTGCAAACAGTGACAGCTTTACCTCTTCTTTTCCGATTTGGATTCCTTTTATTTCCTTTTCTTCTCTGATTGCTGTGGCTAAAACTTCCAAAACTATGTTGAATAAGAATGGTGAGAGTGGGCAACCTTGTCTTGTTCCTGATCTTAGTGGAAATGCTTTCAGTTTTTCACCATTGAGGACAATGTTGGCTGTGGGTTTGTCATATATGGCCTTTATTATGTTGAGGAAAGTTCCCTCTGTGCCTACTTTCTGCAGGGTTTTTATCATAAATGGGTGTTGAATTTTGTCGAAAGCTTCCTCTGCATCTATTGAGATGATCATATGGTTTTTCTCGTTCACTTTGTTAATATGGTGTATCACAGTGATTGATTTGCATATATTGAAGAATCCTTGCATTCCTGGAATAAACCCACTCGATCATGGTGTATGATCCTTTTAATGTGCTATTGGATTCTGTTTGCTAGTATTTTGTTGAGGATTTTTGATCTATGTTCATCAGTGATATTGGCCTGTAGTTTTCTTTCTTTGTGACATCCTTGTCTGGTTTTGGTATCAAGGTGATGGTGGCCTCATAGAATGAGTTTGGGAGTGTTCCTCCCTCTGCTATATTTTGGAAGAGTTTGAAAAGGATAGGTGTTAGCTCTTCTCTAAATGTTTGATAGAATTTGCCTGTGAAGCCATCTGGTCCTGGGCTTTTGTTTGTTGGAAGATTTTTAATCACATTTTCAATTTCAGTGCTTGTGATTGGTCTGTTCATATTTTCTATTTCTTCCTGATTCAGTCTTGGCAGGTTGTGCCTTTCTAAGAATTTGTCTATTTCTTCCAGGTTGTCCATTTTATTGGCATAGAGTTGCTTGTAGTAATCTCTCATGATCTTTTGTATTTCTGCAGTGTCAGTTGTTACTTCTCCTTTTTCATTTCTAATTCTATTGATTTGAGTCTTCTCCCTTTTTTTCTTGATGAGTCTGGCTAATGGTTTATCAATTTTGTTTATCTTCTCAAAGAACCAGCTTTTAGTTTTATTGATCTTTGCTATCATTTCCTTCATTTCTTTTTCATTTATTTCTGATCTGATTTTTATGATTTCTTTCCTTCTGCTAACTTCAGGGTTTTTTTGTTCTTCTTTCTCTAATTGCTTTAGGTACAAGGTTAGGTTGTTTATTTGAGATGTTTCCTGTTTCTTAAGGTAGGATTGTATTGCTATAAACTTCCCTCTTAGAACTGCTTTTGCTGCATCCCATAGGTTGTGGGTCGTCGTGTTTCCATTGTCATTGGTTTCTAGGTATTTTTTTATTTCCTCTTTGATTTCTTCACTGATCACTTCGTTATTAAGTAGAGTATTGTTTAGCCTCCATCTGTTTGTATTTTTTACAGATCTTTTCCTGTAATTGATATCTAGTCTCATAGCGTTGTGGTCGGAAAAGATAGTTGATACAATTTCAAATTTTTTAACTTTACCAAGGCTTGATTTGTGACCCAAGATATGATCTATCCTGGAGAATGTTCCCTGAGCACCTCAGAAAAATGTGTATTCTGTTGTTTTTGGATGGAATGTCCTATAAATATCAATTAAGTCCATCTTGTTTAATGTATCATTTAAAGCTTATCTTTCCTTATTTATTTTCATTTTGGATGATCTGTCCATTGGTGAAAGTGGGGTATTAAAGTCCCTTACTATGAATGTGTTACGGTCGATTTCCCCTTTTATGGCTGTTAGTATTTGCCTTATGTATTGAGGTGCTCCTATGTTGCGTGCATAAATATTTACAATTGTTATATCTTCTTCTTGGATTGATCCCTTGATCATTATGTGGTGTCCTTCTTTGTCTCTTCTAATAGTCTTTATTTTAAAGTCTATTTTGTCTGATATGAGAATTGCTACTCCAGGTTTCTTTTGGTTTCCATTTGCATGGAATATCTTTTTCCATCACCTTACTTTGAGTCTGTATGTGTCTCTAGGTCTGAAGTGGGTCTCTTGTAGACAGCATGTATATGGGTCTTGTTTTTGTATCCATTCAGCCAATCTGTGTCTTTTGGTGGGAGTATTTAGTCCATTTACATTTAAGGTAATTATCGATATGTATGTTCCTATTCCCATTTTCTCAATTGTTTTGGGTTCGTTATTGTAGGTCTTTTCCTTTTCTTGTGTTTCTTGCCTAGAGAAGTTCCTTTAGCATTTGTTGTAAAGCTGGTTTGGTGGTGCTGAACTCTCTCAGCTTTTGCTTGTCTGTAAAGGTTTTAATTTCTCCATCAAATCTGAATGAGATCCTTGCTGGGTAGAGTAATCTTGGTTGCAGATTTTTCTCCTTCATCACTTTAAATGTGTCCTGCCAGTCCCTTCTGGCTTGCAGCGTTTCTGCTGAAAGATCAGCTGTTAACCTTATGGGGATTCCTTTATGTGTTATTTGTTGTTTTTCCCTTGTTGCTTTTAATATGTTTTCTTTGTATTTAATTTTTGACAGTTTGATTAATATGTGTCTTGGCATATTTCTCCTTGGATTTATCCTGTATGGGACTCTCTGTGCTTCCTGGACTTGATTAACTATTTCCTTTCCCATATTAGGGAACTTTTCATCTATAATATATTCAAATATTTTGTCAGTCCCTTTCTTTTTCTCTTCTTCTTCTGGAACCCCTATAATTCGAATGTTGGTGTGTTTAATGTTGTCCCAGAGGTCTCTGAGACTGTCCTCAGTTCTTTTCATTCTTTTTTCTTTATTCTGCTCTGCAGTAGTTATTTCCACTATTTGATCTTCCAGGTCACTTATCTGTTCTTCTGCCTCAGTTATTCTGCTATTGATCCCATCTAGAGTATTTTTCATTTCATTTATTGTGTTGTTCATCATTGTTTGTTTCATCTTTAGTTCTTGAAGGTCCTTGTTAAATGTTTCTTGCATTTTGTCTCTTCTATTTCCAAGATTTTGGATCATCTTTACTATCATTATTCTGAATTCTTTTTCAGGTAGACTGCCTATTTCCTCTTCATTTGTTAGGTCTGGTGGGTTTTTATCTTGCTCCTTCATCTGCTGTGTGTTTTTCTGTCTTCTCATTTTCCTTATCTTACTGAGTTTGGAGTCTCCTTTTTGCAGGCTGCTGGTTCGTAGTTCCCTTTGTTTTTGGTGTCTGTCCCCAATGGCTAAGGTTGGTTCAATGGGTTGTGTAGGCTTCCTGGTGGAGGGGACTAGTGCCTATGTTCTGGTGGATGAGGCTGGATCTTGTCTTTCTTGTGGGCAGGTCCACGTCTGGTGGTGTGTTTTGGGGTGTCTGTGGACTTATTATGATTTTAGGCAGCCTCTCTGCTAATGGGTGGGGTTGTGTTCTTGTCTTGCTAGTTGTTTGGTATAGGGTGTCCAGCACTGTAACTTGCTGGTTGTTGAGTGAAGCTGGGTGCTGGTGTTGAGATGGAGATCATTGGGAGATTTTCGCCATTTGATATTGTGTGGAGCTGGGAGGTCTCTTGTGGACCAGTGTCCTAAAGTTGGCTCTCCCACCTCAGAGGCACAGCACTGACTCCTGGCTGCAGCACCAAGAGCCTTTCATCCACACGGCTCAGAATAAAAGGGAGAAAAAGTAGAAAGAAAGAATTAGTAGAAGTAGAAAGAAAGAAGGAAAGAAAGAAAGAAAGGAGGGAGGGAGGAAGGAAGGAAAGAGGGAAGGAAGAAGAAAAAGAAAGAAGATAAAGTAAAATAAAATAAAGTAAGATAAAATATAATAAAGTTATTAAAATAAAAAATAATTATTAAAAAAAAAACGGATGGTAAGAACCCTAGGACAAATGGTGGAAGCAAAGCTCTACAGACAGAATCTCACACAGAAGTATACACATACACCCACAAAAAGAGGAAAAGGGGAAAAAATCATAAATCTTGCTCTCAAAGTTATCTCCTCAATTTGGGATTATTCATTGTCTAAAGGAGGGAGGGAAGGAAAGAAAGAAAGAAGATAACATAAAATTAAATACAGTTATTAAAATAAAAAATAATTATTAAGAAAAAAAATTAAAAAGAAAAAAAAACAGACGGATAGAACCCTAGGACAAATGGTGGAAGCAAAGCTATACAGACAAAATGTCACACAGAAGCATACACATACACATTCACAAAAAGAGGAAAGGGGAAAAAATCATAAATCTTGCTCAAAGTCCACCTCTTCAAAATGGGATGATTTGTTTTCTATTCATGTATTCACAGATGCAGGGTACATCAAGTTGATTGTGGAGCTTTAATCCGCTGCTTATGAGGCTGCTGGGAGAGATTTCCCTTTCTCTTCTTTGTTCTCACAGCTCCCAGGGGCTCAGTTTTGGATTTGCCCCCCACCCTGCATGTAGGTCACAAGAGTGCGTCTGTTCTTCGCTCAGACAGGACAGGGTTAAAGGAGCCGCTGAGTCGGGGGCTCTGGCTCACTCAGGCCAGAGGGAGGGAGGGGCACGGAGTGTGGGGCGGGCCTACGGTGGCAGAGGCCGGCGTGGTGTTGCACCAGCCTGAGGCGTGCCGTGCGTTCTCCCGGGGAAGTTGTTTCTGGATCCCGGGACCCTGGCAGTGGCAGGCTGCACAGGCTCTTCGGAAGGGGGGTGTGGATAGTGACCTGTGCTCGCAGACAGCCTTCTTGGTGGCGGCAGCAGCAGCCTTAGCGTCTCATGCAGGTCTCTGGGGTTCGCGCTTTTAGCTGTGGCTCGAGCCCGTCTCTGGAGCTCCTTTTAGCAGCGCTCTTAATCCCCTCTCATCGCACACCAGGAAACAAAGACGGAAGAAAAAGTCTCTTGCCTCTTCGGTAGGTCCAGAGTTTTCCTCGGACTCCCTCCCGGCTAGCCGTGGTGCACTAACTCCTTCAGGCTATGTTCGAGCCGCCAACCCCAGTCCTCTCCCTGCGCTCCGACCGAAACCCAAGCCACAGCTCGCAGCCCCGCCCGCCCTGGCGGGTGAGCAGACAAGCCTCTCGGGCTGGTGAGTGCCGGTCGGCACCGATCCTCTGTGCGGGAATCTCGCCGCTTTGCCCTCCGCACCCCTGTTGCTGCGCTCTCCTCCGCGGCTTCGAAGCTTTCCCCCTCCGCCACCGGCAGTCTCCACCTGCGTAGGGGCTTCCTAGTGTGTGGAAACCTTTCCTCCTTCACAGCTCCCTCCCCCTGGTGCAGGTCCCGTCCCTATTCTTTTGTCTCTGTTTTTTCTTTTGCCCTACCCAGGTACGTGGGGGAGTTTCTTGCCTTTTGGGAGGGCCGAGGTCTTCTGCCAGCGTTCAGTAGGTGTTCTGTAGGAGTTGTTCCACGTGTAGATGTATTTCTGGTGTATCTGTGGGGAGGAAGGTGATCTCCGCGTCTTACTCTTCCGCCATCTTCCCCTCGTCTAAAATCTTTATATTTTAAACTGATTGGTTTTAGTATGTGATTGGTATTTAGTATGCACAGAAACTGTGCCATAAGTATTTTTAGGCTAATTATTTGTGCCAGGTACCTACTATTTTCCTTATCTTATTAATTACTTTATTCTGATGTTCTGATTATAGGTGAGGTTATCATCTTATTTGTCTTTATATTCCTTATAGGCATTTGCATATCTCTCACATAGTAAATCCATGATATATGCTCACTTGATCAATAAATATATGTATGTTTTAATTGAGAACCTACTATGTGATAGAACTGAAGATCAGATATTAATAGGATGCACTCCTTTGTCCTTGAGGGACTCTATCCAGAGAATGAATTAACAGATAGTTGTATTTTATTGAGGCCAAGTACATTGAGTTGCCAGATAAAGTTTGATGACTTCATATCATCAGTTTGCATGTGTGTTGACTACTGAACTCATTCCACCCACTTGCCTTTTTTTAAAAGTGAATTTGTTTCTAAGAGCTCTCATGGATGTAACTTTTTTTTGTTTTTAAATACTATACTCAACTTTAAAACTTAATATCAATATATAGCTCTTTATTGTGTTTGATTAATTGATTATCTGTCTCTTCCAGTTGAATATAAACTCCACAAGGGTAGCCACTTTGTCTCCTCTGTTCACTCCTTTATCCTCAACACCTAGAATAGTACATATCACATAGTAAGCATGAATAAATATTTGTTGGATTATATATCAATACATAAATTAAGCAGGGTCTCTGAGACCAAGTTTGGGCCCCAGTGAGAAAAAAGAAAGGTTACTGGCTCAATCATTTCATGTTCCTTAACAAGGGCTGGCTAAAAATATTTACATGAGATTTATACTGATATACAACACTGTTGGACCTTAGGCCCCCATTCTAGACATTAGGGTCCTAGTGATTTGTACTGGTTTCTTTCCTTCTTATCAGCCCTAAAGTCAAGCGTCATTATCTACCATCTAATCTACCTCACTGAGCCAATTTAGAACTAATTTACTTTTTACTGATTTCTTTTTCTCTAAGAAATAATACTTTACTAGGGATTTAACTGAGGAATGTAAAAGGTTTTCAGAAGGAGTAGTAGTCCCAATAACAAATTTCCCTTTTGCAGTGAATAAGATCATCCTTAACCAAGCTGTGTGGGTTAGTGGTAGGTTTTGATTATTCACGCCAGTATATTCTCCATCTTTGACATGGATAATGAAATATTAACGTCTTTCTTCTCTTTATATTATTATATATTCTGTGATGTTGCATCATAATGTTAAAGGATTATGCAGCTTGCATATTAAAGTCATGTAAAATATACCAGTGAGTCCCAGATTTATTACAGTACTTTTGTCATTTTTTTATCATTAAAAAAGAAAACATTTTCGAATGTTAGTTTCACAGTGGATGATATTCATTATATGTTAAATTATATAGAGGTTTAGTTGGGAGGGGTTAAGTCATTTATTAAAAGAGAAATCAGAGTAAGAATAGGTTATCTGTATCATTTTATTTTGAAACCTACAAATATCTTGTGCATTTCAGGTTATGAAAGAGCAGGAACAGTACATTGCAACTCAGTACAAGGAGGCCATAGATTTGGAGCAAGAATTGAGGCTATCTCGGGAGCATTTGCAGAACTCTCATACAGAATTGGTGGAGGCTCATCGTCAACAAGTGCAAGCACAGAGAGAAGTAGAAAGGCTGTCAAGTGAACTGGAGGAAATAAAGCAACTCTCTAAAGAGAAAGTAATCCCTATTCTAATTTTACCTTACTGAAAATACTAAAATTTTTAACTTTTACTTTTTCTACTATAGAATATAGTTCTTACAAAAGTTAATTGTGTTTCACAACAATGTGAATGTATTTAATACCACCAAATTTTACACTTAAAAATGATTAAGGTGGTAAATTTTATGTTATGTGTATTTTACCCAAATTTTTTAAAAAACTGTTATATTTAGCACAGCATTGTAGTGTAACTTGGAAGTCTCTCAGAACTGAGTATTAGTCAAACTAATTAGTTTTCAATAAAATGAGTTATAAAGCACTTTCAGACTTTCAAGTGAATTTGAGCTATCACTCAAACAAAAAAAAAAATCTAATAAATCTTTTTTAAAAGATTTATTCATTATTTATTTATTTAATATAATTTATTTTTGGCTGCATTGTGTCTTAGCTGCAGCACACGGGATCTTCATTGAGGCATGTGGGATCTTTCATTGCAGCACACAGGCTCTTCGTTGTGGCACGTGGGCTTCTCTCTAGTTGTGGCATGCAGGCTCCAGGGTGCGTGGGCTCGGTAGTTGTGGCGCTTGGGCTCCAGGGCGCATGGGTTCTGTAGCTTGCGGCACGCGGGCTCTAGTTGAGGCACGCGAGCTCAGTAATTGTGGCACACTGGCTTAGTTGCCCCGCAGCATGTGTGCTCTTAGTTCCCTGACCAGGAATCGAACCTGCGTCCTCTGCATTGTAAGGCGGATTCTTTACCACTGGACCACCAGGGAAGTCTCTAATAAATCTTTTTTAGTAAAAACTTTTTACATTTGTAGCCATTCATATATGAAAACTGACTATCTAAATTTATAACTGTTAGAAACCTGCAGTCCAGAACCCTTGGGGAGAAAAAGAGATTTTAAATAGCAAGAGCACTAATATAGATTGTATTTCCCTAGTATTAGATAGAAAGTTAACAACTTGGCTTAAAAATATTTAGATTGATATATGTGAGTTAATTACTTAGACTTCGAAAAAAATGTATTTATTGGTATTCTAGAAAAGTTCTTGTGATATTTCTGCTTTCTATTATGGTTACTAATTCAGTATGGGAATTGACTGAAAATGTTTTTACATTTAGCCTTGGTTAACCTAATGACATTTTTATTCACATTTCTGGGTGGTTAGACTAATAAAAAATATACAGGGAATTTTTACTAGAATGTCAGGCACATGGGAGTCTACTAGGAAAAGGGAGGCTATCTTTTATCTCATTTCTGTCCTTATCAATAGTATCTAAATGTAGTATAATTGATTTTATCTGATAAACTAAGCTCAGTTAATCAAATAAGTAAGTGAAAGTGGGGAATTATTAAAAATGACATTTTAGGCCTTCCCTGGTGGCGCAGTGGTTAAGAATCTGCCTGCTGATGCAGGTGACATGGGTTCGAGCCCTGGTCCTGGAAGATCCCACATGCTGCAGAGCAACTAAGCGCGTGCATCACAACTACTGAGCCTGCTCTCTAGAGCCTACAAGCCACAACTACGGAAGCCCATGTGCCACAACTACTGAAGCCCACGCACCTAGAGCCAGTGCTCCACAAGAAAAGCCACCACAATGAGAAACACTTGCACCGCAACCAAGAGTAGCCCATGCTTGACGCAGCTAAAGACAGCCCGCACGCAAAAACGAAGACCCAGGGCTTCCCTGGTGGCACAGTGGTTGAGAGTCCGCCTGCCGATGCAGGGGACACGGGTTCGTGCCCCGGTCCGGGAAGATCCCACATGCTGCAGAGCGGCTGGGCCCGTGAGCCATGGCCGCTGAGCCCGTGCATCTGGAGCCTGTGCTCCGCAACGGGAGAGGCCACAACAGTGAGAGGCCCGCGTACCGCATAAAAAAAAAAAGAAAAAATGAAGACCCAATGCAGCCCCAACGCAGCAAAAGATAAATAAATAAATAAACATTAAAAAAAAAAATGACACTTTAGGGCTTCCCTGGTGGCACAGTGGTTAAGAATCCACCTGCCAACGCAGGGGACACAGGTTCAAGCCCTGGTCCAGGAATATCCCACGTGCTGCAGAGCAACTAGGCCCGTGCGCCACAACTCCTGAGCCCCCGTGCCTCAACTACTGAAGCCCGTGTGACTAGAGCCCGTGCTTCGCAACAAGAGAAGCCACCACAGTGAGAAGCCCGCTCACCACAGCGAAGAGTAGCCCCCGCTCGCCGCAACTAGAGAAAGCCCACGCAGCAACAAAGACCCAATGCAGCCAAAAATAATAAATAAACAAAATAAATACATTTATTTTTAAAAAATGACACTTTAAGTATTATATTTTAACCCAAAAATCTAAGTTTACATTCATGCGTTAATCTTTTAATGTGGGACCAAATCTTGGTTTTTGGTGTATGGTAGGGTCACTTGATTAAAATTCCACCTAGTCTTTCTTGCATAAACCATACTCATATTCCATCATCTATAGTTTCCAATTTTAGTTTCTTAAAATGGAAAAAGAATTGAAAGACATTTGTGAATCAGAGGATAGCATCTCATATTTTTTATGGGATTTCACACAATATTTTACAACTATCCTGACTGGTTCTAATTGGGTAGCAAATGTTTGTGACTCACTCATTGAATTGTCTCAAAGCATATAACTTAGTTTTCATATAAAAACATTCATTTTACATGCATATTTCATCAATGTTCATAATGTATAATAAAACTACATAATTGTAGTCACAAACACAACTAGCATAAATAGGTCTGGATAAATACACAACTGACTGTAGATAAGCAAACAGCACATCTGGTGAGCAAAAATGCATACCCATACCTAAGAGCAGACTATTATCTGCCAAAGTTCAGTGTTCTGTGGTTATTAGTTTATTTTACAAAACGCATTGGTTAGTGAACTTCTATTATATTATGATAACAAACAATATACTGATACTTTCCCATTAGTACTCTCTTAAAGATCTAGATTAAAATCTAGATTAATACATTTTTTAAAGTGTACATTTAATATGGTAACTGTGTATGAGTACATAGTATTATAAAAGATTAAGATACTTCTATAAATGTGGTGAGTTGTTTAGCTATAATAGCCAAATAAACAAGTAATGTAACCTTTACTTAATATGTCATTTTAAGGAAGCTCATGGAAAACATTTAGCTGAAGAGTTGGGGGCTTCTCAAGTACGTGAAGCTCAGTTAGAAGTAAGAATGCAAGCAGAAATCAAGAAATTGTCAGCAGAAGTAGAATCTGTCAAAGAAGCTTATCATCTAGAGGTAAATAAAAATTTAATTTGTTCTATTACCCCCTGCTAAAGTGTGTTGATCTATCTGAACAAAGTATAAGTCTAGCTCTTAAATGTTCATTATAGAGTAATACATGTGGTCTTCCATTTCTGGTATCCTAAACGTATAACTTTTGCTTCATATCCAGTGAACTAATATTCTGTGGGGTTAAGAGGTTGAATTCTTTAGCCAGGCATCCTGGTTCTAAATCTCAGCTCATTACTTGACACTTATGTAACCTTGGGCAACTAACTTAACATCTTTAACTAAAATGGATATAATAATGCTATCTATTTCATAAAACTGTGTTGAGGATTAAATGAATTAGTGTAGTTAAAGTTCTTACACCAGAGCCTGGCACATCATTATCATTGTATCATTGGTTATAAAATAGCGCTTGCCAAAACTAACTGGAGGTATTTAATAACCAATATAAGCTGTTTCATGTGATGTAGATCTATTAATGTGTTGTAATTTTCAACATTTGCTCTGATAGTAAGTTAGAGAGGCAGTACAATACTTTTTATCTATCCATGTGTCCTGAGCCTTTATAGAAATGGGCAGTGTCACCCATTAGAATAGCATTTCTTGTCTTTTTAAAAACTATATTTGAAGATATCCAGAATTTATGTTTAAGATCTGAATAAATTACTTATGAAGTTCTAATAAAGCATTTTTCCGTATGGCAATGGTTGCAAATATATTTATATTAAACTCATTTCTAGGGAGTTTGGTAATATCTGTGTGAGGGATAAGTTGGGTTTGTGGTCACCATGTCTTGTTTAAATGCATTTAGAGTCAAATCTCTTTGAAAACATTGTCTGCCAAACAAAACACATTTGCAAGCTGAATCCAGTCCTCAGGCCAAGAGATTACAACCTTTGGTCTTTAGAGACAAATGTGAATGCTGATGAGTTCAGCATAATTATTTGATATTAGCTGGCCAACTTAGTGACCATCAGTAATAATTGGTCCATCTCAAGTATTTGCCAGGAACTACTCAGTATGCTTTTATTACATGGTCTGAACTTCTACTTTTATTTTAATCATCCAATTTTTTACTTTTAGTTTTATAAGCATCCTGAAATTATTTATAAGCAATAGTACATAAAATGAATTGTAAAAATTGGTTCTAGTATTGCTGTTTAATATCTGGTATTAATATTTTATATGCATGATATAAAAACACCTAATATGGATACTCGCACAGGGGCTGCAGCTGGTGTCTTGGAGGCCTGTCGGGGATGAAGGCACCCAGCACAAATGCTTTTCCAGTCAGGCCCCAGACATGCTGGTCCTTTTAAGCCTCGTGGTGAAACAGCTGTTTAACCCATTCAGACAGAAAAATGAAAGCTCTACATAGGAACACGATGTGAATGGAAGAGACCTTTCATTATGCAAACAGTATGGAACTCTAAACAGACACTAAAAACAGCTCTCATCTTAAGAACCCAGCACTTGTGTCACAGTAAAAGTTAAGTGCTGGTGGAACAGCTTTTGATAAATGAAGACTTCCAGCCAGAGGGTGATACCTTTGGACAATTCTTGCATTCGTGATCAGATTGGATACCTCCCATCCTGAGGCTCCCCAAGACTTTTGAAAAGTTTTTCAGTGATCCTTACAGAAAGACACCCTCTCCAGAGAAATGCAGTATTTATATACAGTGCATTGGATCTCTAGGAAACACCAGAGTTATCAGTGAAGAATATATTAAATGACTCAAGGGCTACTGTGAAGCATTTTTCTGTGGCTTGACAGTAAAGCTCCTAGAACCAGTTCCTATCTCTGCAAGGTGTTCTTTTAGAGTCAGTGATAACATCCAAAACCTACAAATTCATGCAGGGCATACCCTGAAGTTCTAAAAAATTAGAAGCCTAAAGATGCCTTCTGTGTTGTGGGAATAACACTGAGCATTACCCAAGAGATTCCCTGGAATTTTGCCTTTGGACAGGCCTCTTTAACAGATGGTATGGGGATATTCAGCCTTGTCAGGTATGGCGTTTTTTTAATAGTTTATCTTATGAAGGCAAGGTAAAGAAGCTGCAGAGAACACCTTCAAACGACTATTCAATTTTTGATAACTATTACATTCCTGAAATGACTAGTGTTTTGCCACTTTGATCCTATAAGACTTTAACCCATGAGGTTGGACACAGATTTGGACTTTAACACTGCCAGTGGCTTGAACATCTAATGCAAGGTTCCAAAGATTTGGGAAAAGCTGACCAGTGCCCCCTAAACTTTTACCCTATCTGTTTACACAAGTTACAGCATGCTATTGGTTGTAGCACTGTGGAAGGGTACAAAGCGCTGGTGAGGTGGATTGAAGATGAATCTGCTGACACACCTCCCTCCAAAACATAGTCATGAGGATAATGTGAATTTGCCAAAACCTGTAGAAGCCTTTAAGGAATGGAAAGAGTGGATAATAAAATGCCTTGCTATTTTCCAAAAATAAGGACCTTCAAATAGGAGTAATTAAAATAAATACTTACAGGTTAAAAAATATATATATAGGTTTTTTTGTTGTTGTTCTTAACAAAGATTTTTTTAAAGTGTGTATGTTGGTTGAATATAAAAATGAGAGGATATGTCATTAAAGTAATAGGAAAGGAGATCAATAATTTTTAACTGTAATTTTTAAAATACAGGTTTCAGAGTTGTCAGAAAAGTTATTTAATTGTAAAACTCCTGATTTTTTTTCAATGAAAATGAGATTTTTTTAAACTTTATTATGGAAAATTTTAAACATATTCAAAAGTAGAATAGTATAACTCTTCCTATATATTGTTCAACTTCAGTAATTATCAACTCACGGCCAATTTGATTTGATCTATAAGTATGTCGACCATCTCTTTTATCTAAAAGGAAATACTTTTGAGAATGAAAAAGGGTGCTATTAGTAACTACACCAGGATACCAGGCATAAAACCTAGACAGCTGTAGGCAAACTGGGAAGTATGGTCACCATATCTTTAACCTCACTCACTTCCCTTTCTTCCTTCCCCACATTCCCCCACATATCACATATTGTTTTGAAGCAAATCCCAAACATGATTGTTTCATCAGTAAACATTTCTAAAAGATACGGACTATTTTAATAAATTTATTTATTTATTTTTATTTTTGGCTGCGTTGGGTCTTCATTGCGGTGTGCAGGCTTCTCATTGCGGTGGCTTCTCTTGTTGCAGAGCACAGGCTCTAGGCACGCGGGCTTCAGTAGTTGTGGCTCGCAGGCTCTAGAGTGCAGGTTCAGTAGTTGTGGTGCACGGGCTTAGTTGCTCTGAGACATGTGGGATCTTCCCGGACCAGGGTTCGAACCCGTGTCCCTGCATTGGCAGGTGGATTCTTAACCACTGCGCCATCAGGGAAGTCGGATGAGGGCTATTTTAAAAAAACATAACCACAATGTTATTATTACACCTAAAAATTGACTTTAATTCCTTAATATCATCATACATCCAATCATTGTTCAGATTTCCTCAGTTATCACAAAAATGTCTTTATAGCTGATTTGTTCAAATCAGGATCCAAAAGCAGTCCATGGTATTTCGTTAACTGTTCTTAAGTAAATTTAAAACTATGGGTTCCTTCTCCCCTTTTTCCCTCTAGTATGTTATTTGTTGAGAAATCATGTTTGTAACTACAAACAGAATTTACTTTCATTTAAGTGGAAATGGAAAGTATTAGAATGTTGTTGAAACCAACTTCACCCTGTTTTCTTTCTTCCTTTCCTTTTCAATTTTGGGGCTATGTAGATGATTTCACATCAGGAGAAGCATGCAAAGTGGAAGATTACTGCTGATTCTCAAAAGACTTCTGTTCAGCAACTAAATGAACAGTTAGAGAAAACAAAACTAGAATTAAAAGGAGCTCAGGACACTATAAGCAATTTGCATCAACAAGTCCAAGACAGGAATAAAGTAATTGAAGCTATAAACGAAGCATTACTTATTAAAGTAAGTAAACATATAAAAGTACATAAAGCAGAACTATAATGAAGTAAATTTATGACTTATTTTCCCATCCTTGTAGTTTGTAGAGGACTAAATAACCAAAAATTGACCTATTTGAATAAAATGCACTTTATTTAGAAGACACTGAATTTGGACATTATTAATTTGATATGTATCATATTACCACAGGAGAAATAATTTACGTTCAACCATGAACTTAAAAATATTTTGTGTGTGAGTGTGAGAACATTCAAGTTCTAATCTTTCAGCAAATTTCAATTATACAACTAGTGTTACCAACTGTAGTCATCATGTTATATATTAGATCCCTCAGACTTTAGTCATCTTATACCTGAAAGGTTGTACCCTGTTAGCAACCTCTCCTATTTCCCCCACCACCCAGCCTCTGGCAACCACTTTCCTGCTCACTGTTTCTATGAGTTTGACTTTTTTTTTTTTTAAGATTCCACATATAAGTGATATCATGCAGTATTTGTCTTTCTCTGTTTTATTTCACTTAGCATAATGCCCTCAAGGTCCATTCATGTTGTTCCAAAGGGCATATTGTATATTCCATTGTATGTATATTTACCACATCTTTTTTTTTTTTTAACATCTTTGTTAGAGTATAACTGCTTTACAATGGTGTGTTAGTTTCTGCTTTATAACAAAGTGAATCAGTTATACATATACATATGTCCCCATATCTCTTTCCTCTTGTGTCTCCCTCCCTCCCACCCTCCCTATCCCACCTCTCTAGGTGGTCACAAAACACCGAGCTGATCTCCCTGTGCTATGTGGCTGCTTCCCACTAGCTATCTATTTTACGTTTGGTAGTACCACATCTTCTTTATCCATTCATCCGTTGATGGGCACTTAGGTTTTTTCCTTATCTGAGCTATTGTGAATAATGCTGCAATGAACATAGGAGTACAGATATCTCTGATAACCTGTTTTCATTCCCTTTGAATATATACCCAGAAGTGGTATTGCTGGATCGAATGATAGTTCTATTTTTAATTTTGGGGGGAAGCTTCATGCTGTTTTCCTTAATGGCTGTACCAGTTTACATGCCCACCAACAGTGCACAGGGGCTCCCTTTTTTCCACACCCTTGCCAACACTCATCTCTTTTTGATGTCTTTTTGATGATAGCCATTCTAACAGTATAAGGTGATATCTCATTTGATTTTGATATGCATTTCCCAGATGGTTAGTGATATTGAGTACCTTTTCATGTACCTATTGGCTCTTTGTATATCTTCTTTGAAAAAAATGTATATTCATTTCCTCTGCCCATTTTTTAATTAGATTGTTTCTTTGCTTTTGAGTTGTATGAGTTCTTTAGGTATTTTGGATATTAACTCCTTATCAGTAAATGATTTGCAAATATTTTTTCCCATTCTGTAGGTTGCCTTTTCATTTTATTGGTTTCCATTGCTGTGCAGAAGCTTTTTAGTTTATAGAGTCCCTCTTTTTTATTTTTGCTTTTGTTGCCTTTGCTTTTAGTGTCAAATCCAAAAAATCATCACCACGCCTGATATCAAGGTGCTTACCCCGTGTTTTTTCTTATAAGAGTTTTATGGTTTCAGGTCATAAATTTAAGTTTTTAATACAGTTTGAGTTGATTTTTGTGTATAGTGTAGGATCGGGGTCCAGTTTCATTTTTTTACATCTGGCTCTCCAGTTTTGCCAGCACCATTCATTGAAGATACTGTTCTTTCCATTGTATTGTATATTCTTAGCTCCTTTGTCATAAATTAATTGGCTATACATGCATGGGTTTATTTGTGGGCCATCTATTCTGTTCCATTGATCTATGTGTCCATTTCTATGCTAATATGTACTATACTATAGCTTTGTAACATGGTTTGCAATCAGGAAGTGTGATGCTTCCAGCTTTGTTCTTCTTCAAGATTGCTTTGGCTATTTGGGGTCTTTTGTGGTTGCATACAAATTTTAGGATACCTTGTTCTATTTCTGTGAAAAATGCCATTGGAATTTTGATGGGGGTTGAATTGAATCTGTAGATCACTTAGGATAGTAAGGACATTTTCACAATATTAATTATTCCAGTTCATGAGCACAGAATATCTTTCCATTTATTTGTATCTTCTTCAGTTTCTTTCATCAGTGTCTTACAGTTTTCAGTGTACAGGTTTTTCATCTCCTTGGATAAATGTATTTCTAGGCATTTTATTCTTTTTGATGAAATTATAAATGGAATTATTTTACTAATTTCTCTTTCTGATAATTCATTATTAATATATAGATGTACAACAGATTTTTATATACTGATTTTGTATCCTGCTGTTTACTGAATTCATTTACTAGTTCTAACAGTTTTTTGATGGCATCTTTAGGGTTTTCTATATATAATATCATGTCATTTACAAACAGTTACAGTTTTACTTCTTCCTTTCCAATTTGGATTCCTTCTATTCCTTTTTTTTCCCCCTAATTTCTCTGGCTAGGACTCCCAATTCTGTATTGAATAGAAGTGGTGAGAGTTGGCATCCTTGTCTTGTTCCTGATTTTAAAGGAAATGCTTTCAGTTTTTCACAGTTGTGTAATATGTTAACTGTAGGTTTGTCATATATGACCTTTATTATGTTGGAGTACATTCCCCCTATAACCACGTGTTGTGCATTTTCATCATGAATGGATATTGAACTTTGTCAGGTGCTTTTTCTGCATCTTTTGAGATGATCATATGACTTTTATCCTTCATTTTGTTAATGTGGTATCTCATTGATTTGCAGATGTTGAACCATCCTTATGTCCCTGGACCTAATCCCACTTGATCATGGTATATGATTCTTTTAATGCATTGTTGAATTCAGTTTGCTAATATTTTTTAAAAATATTTATTTATTTTAAAATACTTTTTTTTATTAAGTGATATTGGAGTATAGTTGCTTTACAATGTTGTGTTAGTTTCTGCTGTACAGCAAAGTGAATCAGTTATACATATACATACATCCACTCTTTTTTAGATTCCCTTCCCATCTAGGTCACCACAGAGCCCTGAGTAGAGCTCCCTGTGCTAGACAGTAGGTTCTCATTTGTCATCTATTTTATTTATAGTAGTGTATATATGTCAATCCCCATCTTCCAGTTCATCCCATCTGCCTACCTTCCCCCCTTGGTAACCATAAGTTTTTTTCTATATCTGTGACTCTGTTTCTGCTTTGCAAATAAGTTCATCTGTACCATTTTTCTAGATTCCACATGTAAGTGATATTATATGATATTTGTCTTTCTCTTTCTGACTTACTTCACTCTGTATGACAGTCTCTAGGTCCATCCATGTCACTGCAGATGGCATTATTTCGTTCCTTTTTGTGGCTGAGTAATAGTCCATTGTATATATGTACCACATCTTCTTTATGCATTCCTCTGTTGATGGACATTTAGGTTGCTTCCATGTCTTGGCTGATGTAAATAGTGCTGCAATGAACATCAGGGTGGATGCATCCTTTCAAATTATGGTTTCCTCCAGATATATGCTCAGGAGTGGGATTGCTGAATTGTATGGTAGCTCTATTTTTAGTTTTTTAAGGAACCTCCATCGTGGCTGTACCAATTTATATTCCCACCAACAGTGTAGGAGGGTTCCCTTTTCTCCACACCATCTCCAGCATTTATTGTTTGTAGATTTTTTGATGCTGGCCATTCAGTTTGCTAATATTTTTTGAAGATTTTCATGTCTATGTTCATCAGTGATGTTGGCCTGTAATTTTCTTTTCTTGTGGCATCCTTGTCTGGTTTTGGTATCAGGGGAATGCTGGCCTGGTAAAATGAGTTTGGAAATGTTCCCATCTCTTTTCTTTAGACTAGTTTGAGGAGGATTGGTATTAATTCTTAAATGTTTGTTAGAATTCACCAATAAAGCCATTTGGTTCTGGACTTTTGTTGTTGGGAGATTTTTTTTTTTATTATTATTATTACTGATTCAATCTCCTTACTAGTAATTGGTCTATTGAGATCTCATTTTATATTTTCTTCATGATTCAGTCTTGAGTTGTATGTTTCTAGGATTTTACCTATTTTTTTCTTTGCTGACCAATTCGTTAGTGTATAATTGTTCATAGTAGTCCCTTTTGATCCTTAGTATTTTTTTGGTGTCAAGTTGTAACATTTCCTCTTTCATTTCTGATTTTATTTATTTAAGTTCTCTCTCTTTTTTTCTTGTTAAGCCTTGCTAAAGGTTTGTCTATTGTGTTTATCTTTTTAAAAACTCAGCTCTTAGTTTCATTGATATTTTCTATGTCTTTTTAGTCACTGTTTAATTTATTTCCACTCTGATATTTATTTCCTTCCTTCTACTAACTTTGGGCTTAGTTTGTTCTTCCTTTTTTATTTCCTAAGGTAGAAATTTAGGTTGTTTTATTTGGTATCTTTCTTGTTTCTTAATGTAGGCGTTTATCGCTATAAACTTCCCTCTTATGTCTGCTTTTGCTGCATCCCATAAGCTTTGGTGTATTATATTTCCATTTTAATTTGTCTTAAGATAATTTTAATTTCTCTGTTGATTTATTCTTTGACACATTGGTTGTTATGTAGCATGTTGTTTAATCTCCAAGTAATGGTGAATTTTCCAGTTTTCTTCTTATAATTGATTTCTACTTTTATACCACTGTAGTTGGAAGATGCTTGATATGATTTTAATCTTCTTAAATTTATTAAGACTTGTTTTGTGACCTAACATATGATCTGTCCTGGAGAATGTTCCATATGCACTTGAGAAGAATATGTACACTCCTGTCATGTGTTGGATGGAATGTTCTGTAAATGTTAAGTCCATTTGGTCTAACTTGTAGTTCAGGTCCAATGTTTTCGTATTGATTTTCTGTCTGGATGATCTATCCATTGATGAAACTGGGATATTAAAGCCCCCTACATTAATATGTTGCTGTCTGTTAATGCTTGCTTTATATATTTAGGTGCTCCTGTGTTTTTTAGGTGCAAAATATTTACAAATGTTATATTCTTTTGTTGGATTGACCCCTTTATCATTATATAATGACCCTCTTTGTCTCTTGTTACACTTTTGGCCTAAAGTCTGTTTTTTTTTTTTAAATAAGTGTAGTTATCTCAGCTTTCTTTTGGTTTCCATTTACATGGAATATATTTTTACATCCCTTCACTTTCAGTCTATGTGTGTCCTTAAAACTGAAGTGAGTCTTTCTAGGCAGTATACAGTTAGGTCTTATTTTTTTATTAAACCACTCTGTCATTTGATTAGAGAATTTAGTCCATCTATATTTAATTATTGATAGGTATGGACCTACTATTGCCATTTTGTTCATTGTTCTCTGGCTGTTTTTAATTCCTTCGTTCCTTTCTTCTTCTGTTGCTCTCTGCCTTTATAATTTGATGATTTTCTATAGTGGAATGTTTAGTTTTCCTTATCTTTGTGTATCTATGATAAGTTTTGCTTTGTAGTTTTCTTGAGGCTTACATAAGACATCTTACATGTATAACAGTCTATTTTAAGTTGATAAGAACTTAACTTTGAATGTATACTAAAGCTTTACATTTTTACTCTGTCCCCCCTTTATTTTGTTTTTGATGTCAAAATTTACTTCTTTTTATCAGTGTACCCATTAACAAATCATTGTAGTTTTAGTTTTAATACTTTTGTCTTTGAACTTTCATACTATAGTTATAAGTAATTTACTTACCACCATTACAACATTAGAGTATTATGAATTTAACTATATATTTACCTTTATCAATGAGATTTAAATTTTCATGTTTTCCTGTTAATAATTAGTATCCTTTTATTTCAGCTTGAAGAAGTCCCTGTAACATTTCTTGTAAGGTTAGTCTAGTGGAGATGAGCTCTTTCAGCTTTTGCTTCTCTGGAAAATGCTTTATCTCTCTTTCAAATCTGAAGGACAACTGCCAGGAAGAGTATTCTTTTTTTTTTTAACTCAAAGAGTATTTATTTAATTTATTTATTTATTTTGGCTGCATTGGGCCTTTGTTGCTGCACGTGGGCTTTCTCTATCTGCAGCGAGCAGGGGCTTCTCATTGTGGTGGCTTCTCTTGTTGCGGATGGGCTCTAGGTGCGCGGACTTCAGTAGTTGCAGCGCACAGGCTCAGTAGTTGTGGCACGTAGGCCCTAGAGCACTGGTTCAGTGGTTGTGGTGCACAGGCTTAGTTGCTCCATGGCATGTGGGATCTTCCCGGACCAGGGATCAAACCTGTGTCCCCTGCATTGGCAGGGCGGATTCTTAACCACTGCACCACCAGGGAAGTCCCAGGAAGAGTGTTCTTGGTTGGCAGTTCTTTTCTTTCAGCACTTTGAATATATCATGCCACTACCTTCTGGCCTGCAATTTCTGCTGATAGTCTTACAGGGTTCCCTTGTACTGCTCCTTCTGTACTGAGTTCTAAGGGGATAGCCATAGTACATCCTTGGAAGCCTGTTAAGAACTGCTTCTTTGTCTGCTGTAATCTTGTGTGTCAGACTCAAGCCCTGTTGGCTTTCACAGCTAAGTGTTTTGAGGGCCCATCACTCAGGTGGAAGTCTTAAAAGTTGGAGCACTAGATGTGGGATCCAAGCCGTTTGCTTCTAAGGAAGAAACTGGAAGTCAGGTGTTCCCTCCCATTGTATGGCCCTGTGCTTGACGTGGGGTTTATGGCAAAAGTGAGTCTCAGCTTTCCTACTAGTTTTGGTGTGGGCATTTTCTTATCCACCCAATGTGTAGATGTTTCTTTCTCAGCTTGTTTCTTTTGAAGGGAATTGTTCCTTATGTAGCTGTAGATTTGGTGTTTTGTGTGTGGGAGGAGATATGAGAGGAGCCTATATCGCCATCTTGGCCTGGAACTTGTGCAAATACCAACTTAATCATAATGTTTACTTCAGAGGGTTTTATACTTGAAGTATTTTAAAAGGAGAAGCAGGGCTTCCCTGATGGCACAGTGGTTGAGAGTCCGCCTGCCGATGCAGGGGACATGGGTTCGTGCCCCGGTCCGGGAAGATCCCACATGTCGCGGAGCGGCTGGGCCTGTGAGCCATGGCCGCTGAGCCTGCGCATCCAGAGCCTGTGCTCCGCAACGGGAGAGGCCACAACAGTGAGAGGCCTGCGTACCGCAGAAAAAAAAAAAAATAATAATAATAATAATAAAATAAAAGGAGGAGCATTAGTGGGAAGCTGCCGCATAGCACAGGGAGATCAGCTCGATGCTTTGTGACGACCTAGAGTGGTGGGATAGGGAGGGTGGGAGGAAGGTTCAAGAAGGAGGGGATATGTGTATGCATATAGCTGATTCACTTTGTTGTACAGCAGAAACTAACAGAACATTGTAAAGCAATTATACTCCAATAAAGATATATATAAAAAAGAAAAAATAGGAGTATTTTTCAAAATCAGGCAAGTTCCTCTAAAAATCATAAAGTAGAAAGTGCAAGATTATGTTAAAAAAATTTTTTACTGGTTTTTGAGTACATATGTCATTTTTCAAATAACCTCTTGCTACTTATTCACCCCTATTGATCATGAGAGTTTACTCTGGAATTTGAATTAATCTCAGTATTGATGCATAGAGATAAAAAATTTAATATTAGTTCAAACTGCCAATAAGTATGATTAACACTGTCAGCTAAGACCTTAAAAAAAGACCAACCTCACTGATAGTTTTGAAGCAATAAATGATTTTATAGCAAAATGGAAGTTATTGAAAACCAAAAGAACTCAGTCAATTAATACCTTAGAAATATTTGTAATTATTAACCTGAGCACTTAAATTCCTCTTATAAAATACTTTATATTCACAGTACTAGAGGAAAGATGAATAGACAGAATCTAAAATTATGTTTCAGTTGAACACTCTATGAAATAGTAATATAGTTAGTGTTCTGGGGATTTACAACATTTACACAAAATAATAAAACTTCATTGCAAAAAATTGACTAAAAATTTTAAAGATTCTGCATTGTATATCCCTTGTCACAGTAATAATGTCTGCTCACTTGTTAGATATTACCAATGAGATAAATAAAATTGTATTGCACTTATCAATTATTCAGAAGTTTTTAAGTTCAAATACTTAGGAAGTTGTGAAAATATTGTCAAAATAGCAGCAATTCTTAAATGAACCATACATACAGAGATCTTAGAACATGTAGTATGATTAGCCAGTATACCAGACAGAGGTAGAATTTCTTTGTTTTCTGACAGTAGAAAGTAAGGCAACCACAGCTGGCTCCAGAGTCTAGATTGGAGAGAAGTTAAGGAGGATAAGAGAGAAAGAAAGAAGAAAAGCTAATAGAAGAGCAGAAGCTGGCATAAATGTAACAATTAGAAGTAACTATAAATAATGGAAAGCAATTCATTGACAGCAGCAGTAAATGACAGAGAACAGAAACAGAAGTGAGGGAGAAGAGAAGAAACTGTTTGAGGCACTGTTTCCAGTTCACCTCTTTTGGTACCCTAACAAGTACCCTCATATTTGAGGAAGTAAGGGCAAAGCTAAGTCCATTTTCTGAAAGCCCTGAAGACATCACTGTATTATTGCACACTACAATAATGATCACAGAAGTGAACTTCTCTGAGTCTTAAGAAAAAGTTGAATTATGTTTAATATATTCAATATACTACATTTCTTTGTAAAAGTTAGGTGTTGAACTGTAAGTTAAATGGAATCCTGCTTATCTGAGATACCACATTTCTCAGTTTGGCTAGATAACACACAGAAGTTTAAAAAAAAACTTAAACTGCACACGACCTTATATGTGTCAACTTTATAATTACTTCATTAATTATGATTATAAAAATGTGAATACAAGACTTACTAAAAAAAATTCGCCCTTCTGCCACTTATAAATCAAGTTTATCTAGATAAAGTACTGTAAAGACATCAAAGGACTGAAATATGCATGTTAAACTTTCATTTTGCAATGTACACTGTGGTTATGACAGTTTTAGTTTTAAGTACAGTATTTTTAGAAAGAATAGAAACTATCAGTTTAAAAGTGACTGGTTTAGAAATATGCATCTTATGGATACTTGTAAGAAAAGGAGAATGTATTTGAACAGGAAACTACTACGTATGTTTAACTTTCGAAATTAAAATGTCTTCCCTTTTTTTTTTTTTGGCTTTATCGCTTTTCAGTGTATGCAATCTTATTCTTAGGATCCCAAAGTTGGGTCAGAGGACCCAAATGAAGGACACGGAAAAACAGAAATGAAAAGTTTATTTAATAAGGATTAATTTATTAAATATTATTAATCATTTAAAGGCTTTTCTTTGAAAATTTTCTAGTAAAGATTTCTTGTGATGATGACATATAAAGCAGAGTAGCTAATAGACATTTATTTCCTATTAGAAAACTCTGCAGGGCATTGTTTTTTGTATGTATGTATGTTAGATTAACAAATGACCGTATACCTTTTTATACTTTTGCAGAAAATTTTTTAGATGTAAGATTTCAGTCTTGAATAGAAATTTATATTGTCATCAATGCTAAGAAAGAAAAAGTTCTATAAGGAAAATGTAATTTTCAGTGGAATTCTTTAGTATAGTTTAAACATATTTCTAGTGAATATAGATAATTTTCCCACAATGAAGGGTTTTAACAGAGCTTGGAAAACTCAAGAGTTGTTATAAAAAGAATTTCTGTACTAGGATGAAGTTTAACTTAGATGACTTCTAAGAGTCTGATTTTCTAAGTGATTCATTCATTTAAGAAATATGTAATCAGCACCTACTATGTACCAATTTTTCTACAGGAATCAGAATTAACCAGATTGCCAGCCAAAATTTCTGGACATGAAAGGGCAGAAGACATCAAGTTTCTACCAGCCCCATTTACATCTCCAGTAGAAATTGAACCTGATATTCAAGATTCAAAATTTGCTAAGCATTCTCACACAGCTTTCTTCAAGTGTAGAAAACTACGTCGCTCTATTAGTGCCAGTGACCTTAGTTTCAGAACTCGTAGTGATGAAGATCTTTCTGAAGAATTACTGCAGGACTTAAAAAAAATGCAACTGAAACAACCTTCAACATTAGAAGAAAGCCAGAAGGATCTGACTTATACCCAGTCAGACTCATTTAAACCTCTCCCATATGACCTAGAAGATGATAGTTCTGAGAATAATGACTTCAGTACACTTAGTGGAATGCTAAAATATATAAACAAAGAAGTGAGAGTATTAAAAAAGTCTTCTATGCAAACAGGTGCTGGTTCAACTCAGGTATGTATTTCATACATTAGAAGTTATAATAATTTGTCTCCAATTAGTATCATTTTATTTTCTGTAAGAAAGAAACCCATACGTTTAAATGAAGCACTCATGCCATTAGGTGATGTACACAAATATTGAAAGTATGAAAAACTTCATTGTGAGTTTAGAATGCTTTTACCCTAGATAAGTAGAGTTGAAAATTAAGCTTTGAAAATTACCTTTTGTTAAAGTAGCCTATATATTTGATTAAATATAATCCCTATATTTGACTGAAGACTAATTCTACGTCATACTGGGAAAGTATTTTGAACTCCAGAGTATTAGAGAATGTTTTTTGGAGTTCCAAAATTAGTTGTGTTCCTAGACTTCCTGGAAACCATTCTAGTAAAGATTATTAAGGTAGTCTTTGTTTTGGTCATAGAATTTCCATAGTGGCTCAGAATATCTCATTCACATGATTTTTCTGCTCCCATTATTCCTGAGCATATCATACTGAAGAGGCAACTTTGTCCCTGCTACACATACCTTACAGACACTCAACATTGTTTATAAGCAGTTAATCTATAGTTTGCACAGAGAAACAAAGAATCTCTTCCAGGTAATTTCAGCTTTTTTCAAATGCCCATTTGCCTCATTTCAAACATATCAAAATAGGTTTGGTGGCCTAAAAAGTTTAAAAAGTGTTTTTAGAATGGATCCAAGACAAAGACTGTTGGAGCTTCTATTCATTTCTCCACGTCCTTCCTTACATTAAAAAGAGCTTAATCTGGGGAGTTCCCTGATAGCCTAGTGGTTAGGATTGCGGACTTTCACTGCCCTGGCTCAGGTTCAGTCCCTGGTGGGGAACTGAGATTCTGCAAGTCACATGGCACAGCCAAAAAAAAGAAAAAGCTTAATTTATTATTTATAAGCAGAAGACTAGAAATAATAATGGTATTGGTAAAAACAAAATTTACACATTATGAAATTTCAAGTGTATAGCAAACAAGATGATAAAATAAACAAGGCAAACTTCTATAAAGCCTGATAAAATTAATTTTCATCTAGCCTTTAAAACTACAGTTGTGTTTATTGTATATCATTTATTTAGCCATTTAATTCATTTAGGATTTATTGAGCATCTACTATGTACCAGGCACTGGGATTATAGAAATAAACAAAACAAAAATGATCAAGACCCTGTCCAAACAGAGCTTACATTTTAGTGGGGAGATCATCAATAAACAAGTAAATAAACATATGCTCTAATGCCAGGTGGAAATAAGTGTCATGAAGAAAAGCTGGTAAGAGGATATGATGTGACTCAGGTATACTGTTTTAGATCTGGTGATCAGGGAAGGTCTCATGAGAAGATGACGTTTGATCAGAGTCCTATAGGAAGTAAGGAATTAAACTACTTCAGTATCTGAAGGAAGAGCATTGGAGGAATGGAAACAAGTGTTATCGTCCTGAGGTGGTAGCATGCCTGGTATGTTCAAAAAACTGCTAGGAGGTGTATGGATGATTTGGTGTAAATAAGAGGGAGGAGATGTGATAAGAGATAATGCCAAGGGTCGGGTAGTGGAGGTGGGGGTGCCATAGTGATCTTGTAGCTCCTTTTGAAGTGTGATGGGAAGACATCAGAGGGTTATGCTTAAGAAAGTGACATGATCTGATTTATGTTTTTAAAGGATCACTCTGATTGCTTTATGAAGAATGGATGATAAAGGGACAAGAACAGAGAACATATAGGAGGCTACTTGTAAAAATCCAGGCAGGATATGATTTTGGATAGGCAGGAGGATAGATGTGAAGGTGTTGAGAATGGTTCAATTTCTGGATATATTTTGCAGGTAGAGCAAACAGTGTTTGATGTAGGTTTTGAGTGACATAGAAGTCATGAAAGACTCCAAAGAGTTTAGCCAGAGTAACTGAGCATTTACTGAGATGAGGAATACTAGGAGATGAGCAGATTTGGAGGCATGGAGAGAATCAAGGGTTTGATTTTAGGTATAATAAATTTGAGAGTTCTATTAGATGTCCAGATGAAGATGATAAATTGTTGCATTTATGAGACAAATTATAAATTTAGATATCATCAGCATATAGATGGTAGTTATAGCCATAATGATGGATTAAATCAAGGAAATTAATGGAGGTTAAAAAAAGAAAAAAAGTCCAAAAACTAAGCCTAATTTAGTAAGGCTAAATTACTTTTAGCATGTGAGTATTGATAATTTAAATTAAAGCTAACTGAGAAGTAAACAGTGAGATAGGAGAAAAATAGGAGAGTATAATAATATTCCATAAGCCAAGTAAAAATGTGCTTCAAGAAGGAGGGTGAGATCAACTGTGTCAAATGTTGCTAAATAAAGTGAGGATTGATAATTGATATCATATTTGGTAATGTGGAAGCTGTTAATGACATTTTTAAGAATGGCTTCAGAGTAATAGTGAGGATAAAAGCCTGATTAGAGTGGAATCAGCAAAGAATGGGAGGAGAAGAAATGCAAACACCAAGAATAAACAACTCTTGATATACAGTAGAGCAGAGAAATGAGGGGAATGTGATGTCAAGGGAGAGTTTTTTATTTTGTTTTTTAGGATAAGAGATAAAACAGCATTTTGTATGTTGGTAGGAATGATCCAGTAGATGAGGAAACTGATAATGCAAGACAGAGTGGAAGGAGTAAAATCCTTAAGGTAGGCTGAAGGGGACAGGATCCAGAAGAGAAGTAGAATTGGCCTTGAATAAAAGAAGGGGCAGTTTATCCACTGTACTGGGAAGGAAGGCAGAATATAAGGGTACAGAAATACATGGAGTGGAAGAAACACATGGTGGGAGGGGAGGAATTCCATTATTAATTGCCTTTGTTTTCTTAGTGAAATAAGAAACAGGGTTATCAGCTAAGGCAGGGTAGGGTATTAGAGGTTTAAGAAGAGGGGAGGTATATGAAACAGTTATCTTGTAGAGTGGGAAAATATAAATGGACTAGGGAAGTCTAGTAGGATTGCCAAGGAGATAGTTTTGTTGTGTAGAACTGCCATGCAAACCATAAGACATCTGGTGTCTTTTGTCCCTGTCTATTCTGTGCCAGCAACAGGATGTCCCTTTTTCCCCATCATAGTGACAACCAACAAGTACTCTTACAGATTTCCAGAATGTTCCCTAGGGGAGAGTACTGCTTCCTTTAAGAACCTCTGCTATATTCCAATGGCCCTTACAGTCATGGATATACAAGAGTCTTATTTTTGGTAAAATAGAATTTATACAGGATAAGTTTGTGATAGATTTACTATTCTAAATGCTTTACATAGATTAACTCATTTAATCTTTACTAACAACCTTGTGATAGGTACTATTATTATCCTAATAATACCAAATCTTCTATTTTAGTGGCTATTATTATTATTCTCACTATATAGATGAGGAAGCTGAGTCTCTGTTCTTAACCACTATTGATAATACTATTTACATAATTGTACTTATCTTTTCTTCAGTACTGTCTAATTATATAGTTTGGTCTTGCAACTACTTAGTCAATTAGAGATTAAGGTTGTGGGACTTAAAATTACTACACAGCTGATAGAATATTTCTCACTCTAAAGCTCATTGGGAAAGATGGATGGATTTGAATATTTCAAATCAATTTACCTATTCTATTATCATGGAAACTCAGTGCAAAATACTTTAGTCAGTTCTTAAGAAAATCTAGCCAAAGTTAAATTCTGTACACATATAGTTTTATTTATTGCTAGTGTTAAAAAAACAAAAAGGTGGAGCACAAAGTGGAGTCACTTGCCCCTAGGACAAGCAAACCAAGACCTAATTGCAGCCTCTCCTAGGAGTGGAATTTTAAGTCAATCATTGGAATTTTCTGATCAGCATTAGCGGGGTAATCGGCCTGATAAAACCCCTGCCACCCTTCCCCCAAAGAAAGGTGACCTTGACTGAAACAATCCTTTCTTTTCTTTTGCTAATAACTGTCTTATCCTGCCCAGATTCTGACTATTAAAGCCTTCCATATTGTACAGCTCCTTTTGTTGCAGGAAGGGGGACCCCTTCCAGGGCCTGAGAGTGGACTCTTCTCTAACACTCAGAAATGAATTGTCCGAGGAGACACATGTGCTGACAAAGCAAGAGACTATTGGGAAGGGGCACCTGGGTGGAGAGCAGCAGGGTAAGGGAACCCAGGAGGACTGCTCTGCCACTGGCTTTCAGTCTCGGGTTTGACGGTGATGGGATTAGTTTCCAGGTTGTCTCTGGCCAATCATTTTGACTCAGGGTCCTTCCTGGTGGCGCACACATCACTCAGCCAAGATGGATTCCAGCGAGAATTCTGGGAGGGTGCTAGGACATATGGACTGGTGTCTCCTCTCTCCTTTTGACCTTCCCTGAATTACTCCGGTTGGTGGTAGCTTGTTAATTCTGCATTCCTTCCCAGGACCTCCTGTTTAAGGTAATTCATGCAAGTGGTTACTATGGTGCCTGGCTAGGGCATCGGTTTCAGTCAGTGTTTCCCCTAACACTCTGAGCACCTCTCCTGTTTACTAGATGAAATGCTATCTGATTCATGCATTATTCATAAAGCCAATTAGATCTTCAAATATACTTGGTTGTATTTTGTTTTTTAACACTAGAGATACTCTGCTGAGTTTTAAATGCATTAACCACTGTTAATGCCAAAAACTTGGCCTCTGTGCACTGGTGCCGAACTGAATTTCAGAGACAGAGTTTTGGGTGAAGTAGAAAAGGAGAGCTTTATTGCTTTGCCAGGCAAAGGGGGATACAGCAGGCTCGTAGCCTCAAAACCCAGGGAGTTTGGTGAGGAATTTTATAGCAATGGTTCAAGGGCAGGGTTGCTGATAAGGATCAGGGTATGTGCAGGGCCTGTATTCCTTTAATCTGTCCTCAGGTGGTTTCCTGATGAGCTTCTGTGGTTCTTGAGGTTATCAAACTGTGACTTTCTCTCTGGAATGAAGAATGCTTCAAGTAGTTAACATCTTCCATTTGTTGGGAGTTTTAGTTCTGCAGAAGAGCTCAAAGATATTGTTATGTGTATCCCTTGAGGCAGAACCAGGACCCTGCCCCAAGGCTGTGCTATTGTTTTTGGACTGTTCCTCCTTTGTCTGTCTCTGTGTCCCCTCCCTTCCCTGATTAGCAACGGTTTGAACCTGCCCTTTGGAATTCAGGGAAGGTCATGGAGGCTGAAGCCTATTTTCTACAAACAATAAACGGGGAACACAGAAAGGCTTCTGTGCCCAGGAGCCACACAGGGTCCTGCTCGGTTTCACTGTCAATACTCATCATGACTTGAGGCTCACTTGGGACTCTTATAACTCATGAGCCTCTGTGTTGGCTTAATTTTGTCTTGGGCAGAAAGGACTGGCTCTTTTGGTTGCTGAGAACTATATTCGGTGTCCTTTGGAACCTGTGCTAGGACTGATGCTTGATAAATGCTCATCTGTGGGTTTTTTTCAATTCTCTAATGGTCGTTACTTACTGATTATACCTAATGTTGAGGAAAAGGTGGCTGAAGATGTCTTCTCAATGCTTTTTTCTGTAGGACCTCCATTTTTTTCTTTTCTAATTTCACTGTTTTTTTCTAATGGAAAGTAAGAAAATTCAGAGCTAGGACAGCTACTATTGAAAGAAACTTTGACTTGCTATGGTTTTACTCTTTAACTACCTTCATGGTCATTTACATGTGCATTGCATTAATAACTGTGTACCACTTTGTAAAATTTGACATGAAGTATTTTAAATTGGGGTGTAGAACCTTGATGTACAGGCTAGTTCTGGTCCTCAGCTTGTTTCACCCATCACTAAAGTAGACATTGGATTGGTCTCCGATTTAAAAGCAGACTTTTTAAGCTCTTTTAAAATGCCAAGGAGTGTTGTTTAAATGAAATGTTATAAAGAAACACAAATATGTCAATCAGATACAAAGATAGTTTATCTGATTGAGGGTGAATTGTTTCTGAGCTTTACCCAATTACTTGCTCACCTCTTTCATGGCTGCTCATGCAAAAACTACAGAGCAGCCTTGGATTAACTTTTAAGGAAAATAAGTACAAGCTTAGGGCACCAAGGGAAGGGGAGCACCACAGAGTTTTTTGCCCCAGCTATCATGCCCTTAACCCTTTCACTGCCACACTTGACTATAGTAGACTTTTTTGTTATTGTCTTTATCCGCCATATTCCAATTTAATCTACACTGTTAAAAAAATCTTTCTTTGGTATGGTGAATGACTAAAGTTTTAAAGTTTGGTTTGAAGGTGTTGTCAGATATTTACATTTATTTCTAATTCATGGTGTGAGTTTCACTTCTGTAGAGAGTAAAAACCAGCAGGCTAAGTCCTGATAGCATTTAACTCATCAGTTAATATGTGTAAAGGTGTAAAATAAAGCTCTTTATTTTAAGCAATGGAAGGGCTGGGGGCATCACTATTGGACTGTGCTTAGGATGTACATTAGCCCTGCTCCAAAGAGTGCAATCTTAAAGTCCACTGGTGCAGCAGAAAGAACATAGAAATTGGTATGTGAGAAATGTTAAATAAGTGTTAGCTTCCTTTCTTGGAACAAGAAGATCAGCCCCAATACTGATTTTCTTAATGGTTAACTATGTTGGCAATTCCATTCACAGTAAAGCCTCTACCACAGTAGTATTTTGCTTTCAGACTCTGACAAAAGCTTCAAAACTCACAAAAAGTTACACATGCACACAATTTTGAACACAATTTCAAGGAGTTCACAGACTTCAAGTTAAGAACTCCTGTTTTAGATTAGAGCAGTAGAAGTGTTGTGAATTAATTAGCTAATTCACAGTTTATTAGGAAGTTGAAAGGAGTATTATTTATCCCTCTTACTTTCAAAAAGAAAAGTAGTTTACAAAATATGGTCCTGTATACTGTGCAATAAGATGAAAAATGAGAATTGATAAAATCAGTGATTGGGTAACAATTAAAAGTGGAAAAAAAAAAACCAAGATGAAGTAGGAGTACAGGTAAGTACCTAGAGACATGATAATATTTTCAAATTCCTGGCCCAAGCAAAGACCAAAATACGACAAGAATATTTGACCTATAGTATTAGAATCTCCTGAGACTTTTCCCTCTATTTTTCTACTTTTGTATGTTGTGCTACTTCTTTGTGCAACATTTCTCTCTTGTCTTTTTCCTTTCCTGCTCTGTTTTTTTCTCTCTTCTCTCTTTTTCATTGACTTTTTTCATGTAGCCCTTCATCTATCTTACTGTGCCTTCAGTTGAACCATAAAGTGACACCAATGTCTAAATATCTTATTTTTATTGTCACCTGTTCTTGCTTTTAAAATCAATTTAATTTAATTTTGCACTCCCTCCTAATCCCCCAACCAGATTTATTTGCTTTTTCTATCGATGTGGTCCATTACTGACATTCTGATTCATGTTTTTCAACTGACTAAATATTTTCCACTCTTGCTTTAAATTATGCCCCTCATTATTATAGTGGACTTTTAATGCTAAATCAGTATTTCAAATAATAATCTATTAATTTGCATTATTCCAGGGAGAAAATTTGTAATTAAAAGAAGACGTTGATGTGATGAAAAATGGAATTTTGGGTACTGTGCTGTGTTTACTTATTATATACAGTTCATACTTCATAGAAACTGTTATTTTATTGCTTTTGAATAAATTTTAAGGTTTTTAAAGAAAGTTCTTCCTTCTAAAGCTTACTTATACTTTTTGTGAAAATTAATTCACTTTATTTATTGTTTTGGTTTAAACTTGCTACTTTCCTTTTCTTTATTTTTTATGTAGAAATCATTGTTAAAATGCATAATAAGTACATTCAGACTACCATATTATTTGCTTATTTTTCTAGTGATACTTTATTTTTAAAATAAGTAATATGAATTTAGAGCTCATTCTGCCACTGGTTCATAATTGTACTAATAATGGCTAGCTTTTGTTGAATGTTTACCATTTATCAAGCACTATTTTAGGCATTTTATATTTGATAACTCATTTAATCCACATGACAGTCTTGTACATGCCTTAATTTTAAAATGCTTTATTGCTAGTGCAGTTCCAGACCACTGCAATAAAGCAAATACACAGTAAACAAATCAAGCATAATCAAAGTTATGTTTATATAACTATGTATGTTAGTCTGTGTAGCATTATGTCTAAAAAAAATCAATGTACATGCCTTAATTTTAAAATGCTTTATTGCTAACAAATACTAAGCATTATCTGAGCCTTCAGCATTCATATTCTTTTTTCTGGTGGAGGATCTTTCCTCTGTCTTGGTGGTGGCTGAGGCTGGGGTGTCTGTGGCAATTTATTAACATAAGACAACAATGAAGATTGCCGCACAGATGGACCCTTCCTTTAACAAACAATTCCCTGTAGCATGCAGTGCTGTTTGACAGCATTTTACCCACAGTAGGACTTCTTTCAGAATTGGAGTCAATCCTCTCAAATCCTGCTTTATCACCTAAGTGGATATAATATTCTAAATCTTTTGTTGTCACTTCAACAGTCTTTACAGCATCTTCACGAGGAGTAGATTCCATCCCAAGGAACCACTCTCTTTGCTCATCCATAAGAAGTAACCCCTCATTCATTCAAGTTTTATCATGAGATTGTGACAATTCAGTCAAAACTTCAGGCTCCACTTCTGATTCTAGTTCTCTTGCTGCTTCCTCCACTAAAGTCTTAAACCCCTCCAAGTCATCCAGGAGGTTTGGGATTAACTTCTTCCAAATTCCTATGAGTGTTAATAGTTTGACTTCCCATGAATCACAGATGTTCTTAATGGTATTTAGCATGGTGAATCCTTTCCAGCAGGTTTTCAGTTTACTTTGCACAGATCAATCAGAGGAATCACTCACTGTTGCAGCTATAGGCTTACAATTTATTTCTCAAATAATAACACTTGAAAGTGGAAATTGCTCCTTGGTCCATGGGCTGCAGAAGGGATGTTGTGTTAAGCAGGCATGAGGACAACATTAATCTCATTGTACATCTCCATCCAAGCTCTTGGTGACCAGGTGTGTTGTAAATGAGCAGTAATATTTTGAAAGGAATCTTTTCTTCTGAGCAGTAGGTCTCAACAGTGGGATTCAAATATTCAGTAAACCATGTTGTAGACAGATTTACTGTCATCCAGGATTTATTGTTGCATTTACAGAGTGCAGGCAGAGTAGATTTAGCATAATTCTTAAGTGCCATAGGATTTTCAGAATGGTAAATGAGCATTGGCTTCAACTTCAAGTCACCGCTATGTTAGCCCCTGACAAGAAAGTCAGCCTGTCTTTGAAGCTTTGAAACCAGGTATTGACTTCTCCTCTCTAGCTATGAAAGTCCTGATGGCATCTTCTTCCAATAGAAGGCTGTTGAGTCTACGCTGAAAGTCTATTGTTTAGTGTAGCCACCTTCATTAATTATCTTAGCTAGATCTTCTGGATAACTTGCAGCTTCTGCATCAGCTCTTGCTGCTTCACCTTGTACTTTGATGTTGGGAGATGGTGTCTTTCCTTAAACCTCATGAACCAGCCTCTGCTAGCTTCATACTTTTCTTCTGCAGCTTCCTCACCTCTCAGCCTCCACCGAATTGAAGAGAATTAGGGCCTTGATTATGCTTTGGCTTAAGGGACTGTTGTGACTGTTTTTATCTTCTATTCAAATCACTAAAACCTTTTTCATATCAACAATAAGCAACATAAAGTACCTAGGAAAAAATTTAATGTAAGACATGAAGACCTGTATATTAAAAAGTTCAAAACACTGCCAAGACAAAGATTTAAAGAGATAGAGAGGGCTTCCCTGGTGGCACAGTGGTTGGGAGTCTGCCTGCTGATGCGGGTTCGTGCCCTGGTCCGGGTGGATCCCACGTGCCACGGGGCAGCTGGGCCCGTGAGCCATGGCCGCTGGGCCTGCGCATCCGGAGCCTGTGCTCCACAGTGGGAGAGGCCACAGCAGTGAGAGGCCCGCGTACCGCAAAAAAAAAATAAAATAAAAAAATAAAGAGATAGAGAATATATAACACATTCATGATGTTCAATATTGCTAAGATGTCAGTTCTGTCTCAAATTGATGTATAGATTCAATGCAGACCCAAACAAAATTCCAATAGATTTTTTTAAAGACTTCAACAAGCTGATTCTAACAGTTAAGTGGAAATGTCAAGGACCTAGAGTAGACAGATAATCTTGAAAAAGAACAAAGTTGGAGGACTTACACTATACTACCTGATTTTAAGAATTATTATAAAGTTAAAATTCAATAAAACTAAAAAGAGTTCATAAATATATCAGTGGAACATAGCGAATTATGTATTTATATATTTATATGATTTAATATATATTTATATATATATATGATATGTAAAGGTATATATTTAACTGATTTTCAGCAAGGCACCAAAGTAATTCAATGTTGAAAGGAAAGCCCTCAACAAATAATGATGGAACTGTTGGAGAAACTTAAGGGGGAAAAAATAGTCTAATTTCTACCTCATATTATATTTTAAAATTAAGTCAGGGTGGATTATAAACCTAAATGTAAAAGCTAAAACTTTAAAGATTCTGGAAGAAACATAGGAGAATAACTTCATGACTTTGGAGTATGTAGAGATTTCTTAGGACCCAAAAAGCACTAGTTATAAAAGTAAATAAGTGACTTGATCAAAATGAAAAGCTTCTCTTAAATCTCTCAGCATTAAGAAAATGAAAATTCATGCTACAGAGAGAGAGCTGTAAATATATGAGACAGAAAACCTGCATTCAAAATTTGTAAAACAACTCACTATAAATTAAAAAAAATTTGTAATCCCAATTTAAAAATTGGTAAGGGGACTTCCCTGGCTGTCCAGTGGTTAAGACTCCATGCTCCCAATGAAGGGGGCCTGGGTTCAATCCTTGGTTGGGGAACTAAGATCCTGCATGCTGCACAGCATGGCCAAAAAACAAAAAAAAAGGTAAAAGACTTAAACAGATACTTCACAGAATAATATATGTGAGTGGTCATGTGCACATTTAAAAGTGTTCAACATCTTTAGTCATTAAGAAAATAAAAATAAAACCACAATAGGCTACCCGTGAGAATAGCTAATATTAACAAATAAACAAAAAAAAAGAATAGCTAATATTAAAATAACTGGTAACACCAAATGATGTGGAACATCTAGAATCACTTTGGAAAATTCTTTGGCAGTTCCTTTTAATTTCTACATACAGCTATTATATGATCCAGCAATACCACTCCTAGGTATTTAGCCAAAAGAAATGAAAATATACATCCACCAAAAAACTTGTACATTAATGTTCATAGTACCATATCTCATTTATAGCCAAAAACTAGAAAAACTCAAATGTCCATGAGTATAAGAATGAATAGGCAACTTGATACATTCATACAGTTAAGTACTATAAAAAAGAATAAACTGTTATACAGAATAAGTGGATACATATCAAAAATATGCTGAATGAAAAAAGCTATACATAAAAATACTATATGACTCCATTTATATGAATTTTAAGAACAAACAAAACTGATATATAATAGAAATCAAAACAGTGCTTGTCTCTCAAGGGTGGGGAATTGAATAGAAAAGGGACAGGAGGGACTTCCCTGGTGGCACAGTGGTTAAGAATCTGCCTGCCAATGTAGGGTACCCTGGTTCCATCCCTGGTCTGGGAAGATCCCACATGCCGCGGAGCAGCTAAGCCCATGTGCCACAACCACTGAGCTTGCACTCTAGAGCCTGCGAGCCACAACTACTGAGCCTGCATGCCACAACTACTGAAGCCCGCACTCCTAGAGCCTGTGCTCCACAACAAGAGAAGCCGCTGCAATGAGAAGCCCACGCATCACAACAAAGAGTAGCCCCCATTCGCCACAACTAGAGAAAGCCCGCATGCAGCAACGAAGACCCAATGCAGACAAAAATAAATAAATAAATTTATTTAAAAAAAAGAAGAGGAAGAGATACCAGGAGTACACACAAACAGAAAAAAGGCCATCTGAGGATACTGCACAAAGACAGCCATCTGGACTTCCAGCCTCCAGAATTAAATAAATTCTGTTCTCCAGAATAGAAATAAATTTCTATTGTTTAAGCCACCAAGTCTGTGGTCTTTTTTTTTGGCAGCCTTAATTAATATGACAGCTGAATAATACAGATGGAAATGGGAGTGACTACTATTAGATACAGGGTTTCTTTTTGGAGTAATGAAATGTTCTAAAAGCGATTGTGGTGATCGTATAATTCTGTGGATGCTATAAACCATTTAATTATATACTTTAAATGGGTGAATTTTATGGGCTATGAATTATGTCTCAATAAAGTGTTTTTTAAAAAGCAGTCAGAGAAATTCATCATATTAACAAAGTAAAAATTTTGAAAACATCATCAATAGATGCTGAAAAAGCTTTTGACAAAATCCAACATCCATTCTTTTTTTTGTTGTTTTTGGGCTGCATTGGGTCTTTGTTGCTGTGCGCGGACTTTCTGTAGTTGCGGCGAGTGGGGGCTACTTTTTGTTGTGGTGGGGGGGCTTCTCATTGCGGTGGCTTCTCATTGTGGAGCACGGGCTCTAGGCACGCAGGCTTCAGTAGTTGTGGCTTGTGGGCTCTAGAGCGCAGGCTCAGTAGTTGTGGTGCACGGGCTTCGCTTCTCCGTAGCATGTGGGATCTTCCCGGACCAGGGC